TGCCGCTGCCCCTGCTCCTGAGTGCGGACCGACACACCCCTCTTTTCTCCCTCAGGTACTCCCTGCTAATGTCCTGTACCCTGCTGCTGTCGTGGACCCAGCTGCTGTCAGGAGCCCTCATCCGCTTCTGCTGACGCAGCCCCTGCTCCTGACCCAGGCCCACACACCCCAGCAGGCACATCTGACGACTCTGTACCTGCCGTGAGGGAAGCACAACATTCATCGCCTCCACACACCCTTTTTCTCCCTCTCTATTCCCACAGATATTGTGTATCTAGACAGTTGTCTCTAGCGGCCGGCTCATCCACGCCATCGCTGTTGCCTCACATGAGGCATGCACCGCCCGTTCTGCCTCACATGTGCTATGCAACCCTGCAGACAACAAGTCTCCTACACTGCCTGGAGGGAAGGAGGGAGTATTGTAGTGGATTTCTCCTCTACAAACGCTGTTTGTCACCGAGTAGCCGACCCCACTAATTCCACAGTGTGTGCCTCATGGTCTAGGTCAACCAGCGCCGCCCACGGAGCGGGGTCAACTACTAAGCCACGCCTACCCCCCGCTATTTAAGACCTGACCTCGTGGTGATCTCTCTTTTTCTACCTACACCAACCAGCCAGCAACACCTCCTCCTCCGCCTGCCTGGCAGTCCTCGCTTCCGCCGGCGAGCATGGCAACCCACCAGCTGTCCTCCTCTGAGTACCCTCACCAATCAGCTCTCTCTACATCATGCTTGTAACCATGCTGCCTTCCCAGCACCAAGCTGCATTGTACATCCAATACAACATGTATACAGAGAGCACATTGTGAGTTTCCTTTCTCCAACCCATCCTGAGTGTGAACACAAACATCTCGTACCCCACAAGGGTATGGTGGCCAAACTGGAACACCTTGCCCCAGTTGGCACCAGTCACCATATAGTGCTGTCATTCAGATTTAACTGTTACCTAGTTCAAGATAAGGCCAGGCCAAGGTGCAAATATTACAGGGGAAAATGCAATGGGATGAGGGGTATCCACTAGCCTGACTCATTAAGGCACAAGAACGCAGACACTACACTGAGTATCATAACTAGTAAAGTGACCCATCTGATCGATAAATACACACCCAAGACCAAACCCAGTGCCTCTAGGAATACGAGGGGATCCCTACACATGAATCATGCGGCGGTCGACAAAGTTTAGAAGAAAACCCAGAAATTCAAGTCGTGGGTTGGGTCAAATGATGAACAGGACAGGACGATGTATGCAAGAGCCAGAAACCAAGCAAAGATAGAGTGTAGAAGGGCTGAAAAGGAGCTCCAGAGGCTGGTTGCAAGCGAGGTCAAGTCAAACCCAAAGGCGTTTTACCGCTATTCAAAGTCGAAATTAAAAACGCGAGTAGGAGTATCAGACCTGAGGCTTGAAGATGGTAGTTATGCAGATTCTGACCAGGATAAAGCTGAGGCATTCAACAGCTTTTTTGCCTTGGTGTTCACAAGAGAGGATGACGATTAATCTTCCTGCGTTTGAGGACAGATGGTTTGAAACAGCGCTGACCCACACTGTGTTCACAGAAGAGGGTATTAGAAATAAACTGTCAAAGCTAAAGGTCCCCGGCCCTGACATGGTGCATCCTAGAGTGCTAAAAGAGTTGAGCAACGAGCTTGCCGAGCCCCTGAAGATCCTGTTTTGTAAATGCCTGGATGGACGAAAGGTCCCCAGTGAATGGAAAGTGGCTTTTGTGAGTCCTATCTTTAAGAAGGGCGATCGTCACTCCATGAACAACTATAGACCGGTGAGCCTGACCAGCATAATATGTAAAGTACTTGAGAGTATTATCAGAGATGCCACGATGGAACATCTACTACGAAACAACCTTGTAAAGGATTGCCAACACTGATTTATGCAGGGGTGCTCCTGCTTAACACAATTGCTCACGGTATTGGATATTTGGACCCATATTCTGGAACGGGGTGGTAATATCGACAATATATACCTAGATTTTGCCAAGGCTTTCAACAGTGTACCCCACGAAAGGCTGAAAATCAAACTGGAAGGGTACGGAATTCGGGGAAATGTCCGTGCATGGATAGAAGACTTCCTACATGACCGCAAGCAGTGTGTGGTGATTAATCGTACGAAATCATCATCCGTACCTGTCACAAGCGGGGTACCACAGGGCAGTGTATTGGGCCCGCTGTTGTTTGTTTGTTTGTTTCATAAATGACATGCCTGACGTTGTACACTCCTCCATACAAATGTTTGCCGATGACGCCAAGTTATTTCGGGAAATCAAGAACCAAGCGGACTGTGAAGAGCTGCAGAAGGACCTCTGTGGGGTCCAAGAATGGTCGAAGAAATGGCTGCTGAGATTCAATGTCACGAAGTGTAAGAGGATGCACCTGGGGCGTACCAACGGTAAGGAGGCGTATCATATGTCCTAACGGGATGAAACCACTATTTGAGACTGAATGTGAGAAGGACCTAGGTGTGTATGTTGACAATGAGCTGAAGTTCTCGGGCCATTGCGAGAAGAAGGTAAATCAGGCAAATAAATTATTGGGTCTCATAAGAAGGGTCGTTCAGATATCTAGACGGTTCGTCCCTCGTAACAATCTTCATGAGTGAAGTGCTTCCCCATCTGGAGTACTGTCACCCTGAGAGATTGGAGCGCCTGAACTTGCCTAGCTTATAATACAGACGGGCAAGGGGTGACCTAATAGACGTGTATAAGGATCTCAAGGGGCACTACTCAGTCGAGTGTCCTTACTTGGAGCTGGTGTACGCTCGCCCCACAAGGGGTCACAGCTCAAGATTGAAGAAGCTGCAAGTCCGGAAAACTGTGAGGGCAAACTTTTGATTTCACAGGTATTTTTCTCTTCCTTTGTTGAAAAAATTGTTATATGCTGGGTGCAAATTTTATTCACTGGGCTCCTCCTGCATAATTTTTTGCAATCTTCCATGTTCTTATTAATGGTAGTGTCCATAAAAAATAATTTATCCTGGTTTTGCAATTAAAGTATTTTTGCACAAAAAATAGACCCCTTTTATGGCCTGTTAAATTGAATTAGAGGCAAAAAAAAATGTTTTCAACTCAATGGTGCATTAGGTCTGTGTATGAGATACCCACATGGCTAGTGTGTTTAAGTGTCTCCTGGGATGGTAATTCCAAGTTTCTGCCACAATCAGATGATGAAGAAGGTATGGAGGGGGGGAAGGACTAATTTTTATAAATAAGAAGTGAGCATGACTCCCAACAGCATTTCAGATGAGGAAAAGGCTTGCACCCTTGTCTTTTCGAGTGAAAAAAGTTTCTCCGAGAAATGCAGGATGGGGCACAACAACAATTAAGCAATTTTCCTGCCAATTTTGTTCTTCCTTAGAAATTCTCCTGGGAGACCCAAAAAGACCTAAGCTGCTGACATGCTTATGATATGAGAAGTCATGAAGAGTCCAACAATGTCAACATTAGAAATAAAGAAAGTCCACCACAAACAAATTGAAAACGTGTTGGATCAAACAATTCAACACTGACTTCAAAGGGAAGTGGACATGCCACTTGTCAAACTGGGGTGTGTGTTGAACTCCCAAAGAATATTTAAGTAATGGGAACAAACCCATCTGAGTTAAAAATGATAAGAGAATGCAAGGAATCATGTGAAATATAAGCTGTCAACCTGGAACACATCATCAGAACCTCTCTCTCTTCTGCAGAAGACCAAACAGATATGGAAGATGGGTTGAAATTACTGTACACTGTATTTCCAAACACTTGTTGAATCCATACCAAGAATTAAATGATATACAAGTGATATAAGAGTTTGCATTTGTTTTATATAACCTCTTTTCCATTTTTTCTGAAAGGTTACAGAGGTCAATATTTTTTGAGGACACTGAACTTCACATGCTAAGTACAGCTCCTCCCCGACTTACGACCACCTGGACATGCGACCGCCTCAGTCGTACCAAAACTTTGTCAAATTACGTATTTTGAGTCCCAACGTCAGTAATTGTGCGGTGTACTGACAAAATTTTTGTTTGTAATTCACTTTAAAATGGCTGGTAAGCTTAAAAGTAAGAGTTTTGTGGTGCTGAGAAGAAAAAGACACCCATTTTAGATTTTCTATGTATTATTTAAGCATTTTCGACTTGCAACCATTTTGACTTACGACCCGCATTTGGGTCCCTAACCCTGCGTAAGTTGGGGAGGAGCTGTAGTTGAATCTTTCTAGCAACATAAGTGACACTATATTTTCTGCCAATACTGTATTGTATATTCTAAAAACTGAGAATAATTTTTACAAGTTTACTTTGATTCTATAATTTTGTTATGTTCACATTGAACATAATTTTTTTTTTTAATAGTACTGTATTTGACAATGACATTGTCTCTGACCAATATCAAGTATACAATGATGTCCTACAAACATAAAAAAAAGTGAAATATTGTACAGTAAAACCTTTTATCTAACTGATGTTAATGAACTTGGGTGAATCAAGTGCCTGAACCCTTCATAGCAAATCACTAAGCGCACTAATTATATTCATCAGACAAATTCCCTCTACCATTTATTCTTTCATTCCCATACAGTACATCCCTCCAATATCCACCAAAGTTGCAAAATCCATCTAGTATGCATTCTCTTCCTTCCTTGAACATCAACTACATGATCCTATACATGTAGAGTAACTGCTTTACCAACCTATCATTCATCATACTTTCTAAACATCTCTTTAGCCCATAAATATTTATATATTTTTTTTTTTGCACACCTCCATTCTTTACCCTATGAATTGTCTTAATTCTCATAACAACAAAAGTTGCCATTTTCTACTATGGCAGTTATTATTACTTTACCTTTCAAACGAATCAAAAATGGCTTCACTTCGAGACCGAAGGGTTGGAGCAAAGCAATTCTCCAAGAAACTTCCTAAATACTGTATATGAATACCTTACAATAATAATAAATAAACTATTTAATGGACATGAGTGCTCCATTAGGATATGCAAATTGTAACGATACAGGATTTATCTAAAAATATAATTACAGGTATACCATAACAAATGAATACAAAACCTGAGTACTATGACAAAAATTATGCAATGAAACTTTTATGATTTGAAAGTAAATGATTTTATAGAAGGCTGGTGGAGGAGGGAAGAATAATGAATGATATCCTTGGATGAAATGGGCATGATGCAAAAGTAGTAAACAGATTGTTAAAAAATAGTTGGCAACCAAAGTGATAAAATAATACTGTACAAGGATTATCATACCTCAACAAAGGAAACAAGTTATGAAAAGTATACTGAGAAATGAAATTAATAATAAATTAATATTAGTTATTGTACATCGTTAAACATCAGTTAAATACTATAACTATATGAGGAGAAAGTTAAAAACTTGTCAGTTTTAGATAACAGCCAATAAGGAACTCTTCTATTTGTATAGCAAAGTGCAAAATATATACATACATAAGTTAGGTATAAAGGCTAAGGAATTCAAGTTTCTGAAGTATTAAAACACAATTGCTCGGTATATCCTTGAGGTCAAAGTTGTCTTGGAGGTGTTACACCACTAAGAAATATTACAGGGTAGTTAATTTATCATGCACAATTTGTGAAGATTATACAGTATTCCACATGTCAAAGGACTGATGCAAAAATTAACAGTGTGAGTATCATAAATCTTAGAATTCTGCTACATATAACAGTGCCCTTCAGATGTAATACAGATGACATCTAAAAGTTTGAAAATATTCATGCCTCCTATAGTTAGGTGCCATGATAAAATTAGATGAAAAAATAAATTACAGTACCATTATTATTAAATAGCAGAAGACAGCCTACTGATGAGATAAACAATAATCAGATACTCACATAAATGTACTACTGTACAACAAAAAAGCAAGAAATGTAATGAGTTGACAATTGATTACATCAATTCAATTTCACAATCACTTTGCAATAAAAAACATGCTTCACAGCCACATTAATAATCTGCATTAGTGCAGGCAAAGAACTCTGTCATTTTTTCATTAATCAACTTTTCCAATGGTCGTCCAAGTTGTAGTTTGCAAAACACACAAAAGGATTACTGAGACTATTTTCATGCTTAATTTCAGACTGGCACTTCTTTACCCCTAATAACCGTTCTGCTAATTCTTCCATTACTGATCCAGTGCAGACAATAATTGTAGCATCGGGTTTCATTAAGAACTTTACAGTAATGGCAGTTTTTGTAAAGCAGTCATCAGAGAGATAGGGCGGATCTGCCACTATCACATCAAAATGTTCGTGTAACTTTCGGGGAACTCCTAAAGGATCCTTGAAGTCATAAAAGATAAAATCATCCTTGTAGACGGAAAACCTTGTATCGAATTCCAAAACTTTTACTGAAAAAGAAGAGCAAAAAATTTTCAATAACATTAACCTTCACTATGAGTCTCATCACCACAACCTAAAGTAACACTAATTAATCATAATCTTTGTTTTCCTTGATACACATCTTTTAACATCTGCTCATATTTACAATCCCCTAACCAGTATATTCCTTTATTCTAAATTTTCACATCCACACCCAATGTCTCTGCCAAAGTTGGAAAACTGATCCTGAAATCCTGTATTAATGAAAAGCTTGAAGCCAAGCAGTATGTTACAGTGCTAATCTATGGTCAGGGTTTGACATCACTCCTTGCTCCCATTGAGAGTAGGGGACTGATCTTAAAATTGCTTTCTCTCCTCTATCACAACCATTACTTCCTGAAGAGGGAAATTAGAAGCAATGTTTCTCCTTTAGAGGTACAGTATATGGTCTAATTAGAGCCAAGCTATTCACCTAGTATACCTCAAACCACTGGTATAAGCTGCCACCTTTAGTTATAAGATGAATCCACCAACTTGCTTTAGTTCCTTGCCATTTGAGTAAAAATTATCAAAATGTTGAATTTGTTCAAATTTAACACAAAGGTCCTCCTCAACATGCTGGTTAATGGTTAAGGATCTGAGTTAAAAAAAATTAAATTCAGGTAATTAATGTTAATCACCCTTGAAATAATTGCAATGCTTTTCAAGTGCCAATTACTCAATCCCTGTAATTTTACTGGCAGATGATTATTATTTTTTTTCCTACACTTTACCACTTTCAGACAAAATTATTTTTGGCCCCAAAATACCTGACCTAATACTGCACAGTACAGGTAGTGTATTTTAAAGCATGTTCAGATGTAATGCTATAATATTAAACTTCATTACCCTATCCTCTTAATACAAAGGATAAAAAAAATTGTGGTTTACTTTCATTTCTTTTAAAAGAAAATTCTTTCAATTGTGATTTTTTTTTAATTGTTAAATTTTACAAGTGTGTTATAATGTGAGTGATGTTTTGATTAGCATACTCATATTAATCACCAAATTTGCTGGGAATATTTCTAAAAATTAATTTAGTTAAACTGGTGATTAGATAAGTACTGTATCTAATTTATTTTCTTTCCCCTTAGTAGGTAGGCGGGTAGTAAATGTGGCTAACCCACAAAAGCGTGGAAAATAGCTGTACAACTTTAATGATTATTTTGAAGTATGTATTGCCCTTATCACACATTTGACCATTAAGTGTAAGGCCCACTTAGGTACAGTCCCCTTCACAAGTGCATTTACAGGGGCTTGTCAGATTTTGTGCAGTGCTGTTTGTTTACATTCGACAGAAGGAAATTCACAATAGTAAACATACTATGGAATCAAACTAAAGCAATATTAAAACTGTTACTGTATTAGCCACTACCTTTTGCCTAGTGGACGATGGTACAGTAAAGTGATGTAAGGAGGGAAGTGGAGGCAGGTGCCCCTCTTCCTACAGCCATGGTATCCGTGAATGATGAATTATTAACACTCAATTGAAGCTGAAGTTTACATCTATTATTTTCCTCTTCTGCTATATTATGCAGATAACATTTATACTATTCATGTTAAACTTAGGGCATAGTGTGAACAAGAGGAGGTTTGAAGTTAATTGCAGTGATTCTTTATTCACATGTGTTTGTTGCTTGCTAGAACAATCAACTACTGCATACCATATCTGAGGTGCATGTCATGTCTGGTTGTGTAAGGATGGTGAACTGTAAATGAAAAATTACTTTTTTCTAAGCACAAATAATTCCCATCCTATCGGCTACATCTTTATATATCTGTAAAGGAATCGGGGACAAGCAAGGGGTGTGTATAACAGCGGCCACTTCTGGCATGCCAGCTTGGACTTGAGTGGGTCAAAATAACACACAAACAACTTTAAATGATATCATATGGAAAAAGTATAAATCTTACATTTATGATAACATCCAAAGTTGTGGTATTACTGTACCCACTAACCGCTACAGTATCCTTGAAGTATCACAGTGGGGCAGAAACTTGACTTTTGTTGACAAACAAGCAAAGCAGGGAGAATGAAACAGGAAGACAGCTCTTGTAAGTTGCAACTGGGAACTGAGACAAGCTGGAAGATTTGTCTTGAAAACCAAAGATGGGGACAAGTAGTAGTGGAGTGAGGAGGTGAACAGGTAGCTCAGCACTAATTAAACTTCCTGCCTCCATAAGGCAACCTTTGCTTCCAATTTCTCTCATCTAAGGATGATAGATGTAACTGGGAAGAGAATGATCATAAGACCAACTCATAGCTGTTAAATGCAGTTATGGAGTGATATTCAATCGCCAAAATTGCTAAATCAGTAACAAGAATTACATGGTAAAGGGTGTTGAGTTTGAAACAAAAAGCCGAGTTGCAGGCTAAAGCTTGCTGTGGTATGTGAATATCAAACTAACAATGTAAGGAAATGAGCCTCAATAATTTTACTTGATATTATTTTAATCATTTTTTGCATATGTCTTTATTGTTCACAAGGTCAATAATCCTTTACATAATACTGTACAGAACTGAGTTTAATAGATACTGTGAATAAGCTAATTCTTGTATATCTGTACAGTATAGTTAGTACAGGTTGTACCTCTCTAGTCTGGCAACCTCGGGACCTGACCGGTGCCGGACCATGGAAATTCACCCTTTTCCTGGATAGATAGTGACTTGTGCTTATGCTTGGAAGCACTAGCACCACTTTCTCTGCATCATAGTCTCTTTGAAGACATATTGAAGGGTTAAATGTCGTATAGTAGCTTCTCAAATTTCGCAAGTTTTTAATTTTTAACGTATTTTATTGGAACACAAAAATAAATAAATAAAAATTTTGACGGCGGAAACTTGAATTTCGACGGGTTTGAACGGCCCGCCAACGTGCAGACGACGTGCATAATCGTGTAAACAGCGTCATTTCTCTTATGTACATAAGATTCATTATTGTTTATTACTGAATGTCTTTTTTATTGAATTAATGTTTATGTGTGCAAAATGAGCAATACAATAAATTAATAATACGTAGAATATTAAAACACACGAGGAAATGACACAGCATTGTTTTCGTTGATTACAAAACCAGTGACTGACTGGTTCTACATATAAAACTGAAGAAACTAAGACCTTGGTTGTAGCTGTAGTAAAATTAATATGGTTGTTTTAAGTAATGTTATTTAATGTTAATAAATGGAACAACAGAAGTAGCTAACGATAATGGTAAAGAAAAAACAGAGATCACGTATGTAAGTGCGCATGCGCACACGTGAAAACATATCGTCATTACTTTACATAAGAATATGAAAGCAACACTTATTTACTGTTCATATATATTTTAATTAATGTTTCTGAATTTGTTTTTATTGAATTAATGTATGTGTGTGCAAAATTAACAATACAATTTATTAATAATACGTGGAATATTAGAGGAGACGAGACGGCTGCCGGCATTGTTTATGTTAAAGCTTACGAAACCAGTGACTGATTGGTTCTACATATAAAACTGAAGAAAATAAGACCCTGATTTTAGCTGTAGTAAAATTAATGTAAAAAAATTAATATGGTTGTTTGAAGTACCTGTAATGTTATTTAATGTTAATAAATGGAACAATATAAGTAGCTAACCATTAATGGTAAAAAAAAGTGAGACTGCGCGTATGTAAGTGCACACATGTGAAAACATATCGTCATTACTCTACATAAGAATATGAAAGCAACACTTATTTACTGGTCATATATATTGAAGGGTTAAATGTTGTACTCTGTATAGACAAGCAGAGAGAGAGAGCTGCCGGATGTAAACAAACCTTAATTTCCCGCGGCTTTGTTTTTTTTTAAGGGGATTAGCCCAACCGGGCATAGGTCACTGACCCACATTGGGGCCTGTGGGGCAAAAATTTAATACTCCTGTAATAATAATAATTCAGATAAGTAAAAAAAAAAAAGCTGCTTATCTACCTATTGGACAAACTAAAATCGTTCCGGACCACGGGAGTTTCCGGACCACAGAATGCCGGACTAGAGAGGTACAACCTGTATCTGTTTATGAAGCTCAATCCGGATACATCAGATCTTACCATGATTACTGTGAAATGTACTTTTTAAGAGAAAATCACCTTCATTATTGTGGAATTGTAATATATCAATACCCTGTAAGTCTAACCCTATTTCCAAAAATTGGTCACACAAACTGCAAATCATATTCTATCTACACAGCAAAAGGTGAGACTTACCAGAGCAACTATGTTCCATTTTCATCAATGTTCTGTAGAGTGTTGGTGCTGAAACACAGGCTATGGAGCCATTATTACCAGCAGTCCTTATGCATTCTTCTGCTAAACTCCTTGCAGTCTCTTCTGAGTACCAGAACTGGCTCATGTTCTAATTGAACCAAGAAAAAAATATACTGAGATGGAAATATTTTCTTATGGGAAAGGGTCAGGCAAAAATATAGTTAATTACAACAAGTGTAAGGAAAATTGCTGGAGAAATGAATATTTAACAACTTTAAACAGCAGTTGCCACAATTGAAATACAGGACAGTGAACCCTCGCCAAACGCTGGTTTGTTTGACACAATTTTGACTACGTATATGTGTTTGAATATATGTGACCAAACAATTTGCCCAACACGGAAATTTGAATGTAAGTGGGTTATCAATGTGCCGCCTCTGCCTTCCTCCCTCCTCCTCCACTCTGCCTCAGCCACACTCCAGTTGGAGATGCCTGCCAGTCTAGCTTAGGCGCCAGTACCATCAACATTGCACTGAATCGGTTTTGGAACTTTTTGTGTTTTTGCAGTGCTTTGTGTGTTTGCCATTGCAGTATCGCCCCTGAATGCAGAGGTGATGCTAGTGGTGGTAGCACACCCAAGAAAAGAAGAAAAGTGATGACATTACCCGAGAAAATAAAGATTTTAGATCGGTTATGTGATGGTGCACGTGTAGCAACACTTGCCTGTGAGAACTCTGTAAATGAATCCACCATACGCACAATTCGTAGTTGTGAGGACAAGATGAGTGCAAGTGTGAAAGCATCCGCTTCTTTTAGTACTAAGGTGGCCCAATTACCAAGGAGGGATCAGTACAGGGGTCCCCAACTTACGAACGCCCGCAGATACAAACGGGGTTAAACTTAAATTTACAGTATTTTATTTGCCCGATGACTTATTTTTTACTTTCATTTACTGTATTTTGGCATTCTATTTCTTCTTTTGTCTTTCATAAAGTGTATTTAGATGTATATAAGGACTTAGGCTATGATATACAGTGATCCCTCGGTTAACAAACGCCTCGGTTAACGAATTACCTTCCATAAGAATCTTCAATTCGGTTAACGAAATTTTTACGAAATCATGTCGATATGTTTTCGCTTGCTCACCAGCTGGAATATTAGTCCGCCAATACAGTAATCGGTTCTAGGGCTTAAATTCGTTCCCATTTGAGTAAATATCAAGAAAGTTGCACTATTCAATAATTTTCCAAGTTTTATATTAAAACTTTTAGTCATTTTAACACTTATTTAACATAATTGCAGTCCAGGAAACTAGTTTTTGATGTGCCAATCTGCCACTTGACTTGCCCAGCAAGGCGTCAGTTTGTATCTCTGGTCAGTGGAGGTAACATCTTGCTCGTGGCTCTGTGCATAATTTTATTTACAATATACAGTATTGTACAGTGGTGTTTGCGTAAATAAATACAGGTTTGTGCCTGTCCATGCGAGATGCTTAGTTTAGATTCCAAGAAAACTTTCCCCAGTACCCGGAAAAATTCCAAGGAAGTGTGAATTTTTGGGGGGGGGGGGATGAAAATTTTTTCTCAATACCCAGAAATCTCTCATTCCCAATAGAGCTATGCACCAATTATTCAAGCTACTGAGGATACCACTGTACTTTGAATTAATGGTTACCTTCACACCTATAATGTCATGGTACAGGTATCCGCCAATCTACGATCTCCCTATTTACAATATTCTGCTTTAACGATGGTGAAGTATTAAGACCACGCCTGTATCTACGATGTAAACAATCCGCATGAACGATGTCATTGTCCAACTAATACGGACGCATCTCTCGGTTCATTCACTTGTCAGCTGCGGTGTACCCGAGCACCGCCACATAGCCACCCGGTTCACTTCAGTACCAAGCTTTGTTCCATGGTGATTACACATCACCGTGATTGTGTAGCTCAACGATTATCAGTCAGTATTATTGTTGTTACTCATCATTTTTTTTTCCACCTAACAGTGAGAGGACATTACAGTCAATCTGTTTTAGTGACTGTGAAGTGATTTGTCTCTGTTGTTGTGAACTTGTTGTGAGCAGTGTCGACCGCAATAACATCATCATGTACTCTGTTTTTGTGACAAGTGCTTTCACTCTAATTTTTGTGACTGTGAAGTTTGCGGTGTAACTTTGATAATGTCTGGGAAGGCCAACGTACCCAGGAAAACCGTATCTCTGGAGGCGAAGTTTGATAATGTGAAGTGGCTTGAGACACACCAGAGGCTGTGTGGGAGTCAGAGTGATGTTTCCACTCCACCTTCAAGAGAAACTCTTAGCCTCGAAGTGGACATGTAATGATGACCAAGCTTGTTCCTAATGATCTAGTGACTGTTGTTAAATTGTGTTGTAGGTAGTAACATCTCCATTAGCCGGAATCCTTCAAACCCAGAATTCTCCGATAGCCAGAATGTAATTTTCTTTGAAAATAACGAGAAAATCTTTACAGTACCCAGAAAATTCCGGGGATAAGAGATTTTTTTCCGAGTTAAGGAGATGAAAATCAGGCACATTTTCCAGAAATTCAGAGAAAATTTTTCGTTACCCGAAAAATTCCGGGGATGAGGGATTTTTTTTCCGGCTTTGAGAGTCATCTCATTACCCGGAAATCTTTCATTCCCGGAGGTGCTCTGCACCATTTGTTCCGGTTAACGGAGATATTATTACTGTATATTATTAGTGTAGGTTTTTTTTTCGGCGACACATGTTGGTGTCCAACTAGCTGGAAAAGTATCCCATTGAACCACTTGTTATACTGATCCCGATTTACGATATTTTGACCTGCCGTGGATTTTCAGGAACCTAACCCCATTGTAAGTAGGAAGTTACCTGTTATTACTGTATACAGGTATCCCGCGCTGTATGAACTTTCAACATACAAATTTTGTAAATTAATAACTTTTCATTTAAAGAAAGCTTCCCCCGCTTATACAAATTTTGGTTCAAGACTGATGCAGGGAGTTATGTTAGGATTACTTTTCAACTTGTAATTTCAAGTTGATAAACTTTAATTTTGTATTTTTTTTTTTACTTAGTTACATGCACACACAATCCTACCTACATAATGTGTGAAAAAAGTAAAAGAAATAATTATCATAAGGTCAATATCATAAAGGGACTAAACATTTCTTTGTGTTCGAGAGAGGGAGAGGGGGGGGAAGTGTTAGAGCCACGTTGCTAAGGGTCAGCAGAGGCAGCATTCCAGCTGGGCTGTGTTGCTATGATGAGGCTTGAGGCCACACAACGGAAATCTATTTAGCGGTTGTGTTAAACTTTCATTTAGGTTTCCTTTAATGGGTTTAGCTGCATACAGTATTTTCATCTAGATAGTGTTTTTTTTTGTGTGTGTTAGGTAGTAAATTAGTCCAGAAGTTGTGTAGTACTGTACTGTATTTATTATTACAGGTTGTAGTTAGATATTTTTTGTTGTTGTTTGTAAACTGATTTGATGTTTATGGGGTATGATATTGGGGTTTTATTTTCACTGGGGAACCGAACCCTATTTTTCCATATGTTCTGTTATTTGATAAAGAAATTCACTTCACGAATTTTTTTTAGGAACTTAACCCATTCGTATAACGAGGGACAACTGTATTCCAATTAAATTAACAACATAGGAGTGAACATAATGTAAGCTCAGACATGATAAGTTACAGTGCAGTGTTTTGGGACTTGTTCATGTTCATTTCTGTGGTGTAGAGTACTGCCATGAAGAATAATTTTCTTTAAAAAATCACACAGTAGTAAATAATATTTGAGGCGTGTCTGACCATAGTGGACAAGGCACCAGAAAAAAGAAGAAGAAAAAAAGACCTCTGGCGCTTTCCTCTTTGTGATCTGTAGCCCTCCCACGTGGGTAGTTTTACCTAATAGCAAAATCAACCATATTGCCACTTCCATTCCGAGTAACTGTCTCTCTTGCATACAGAGGTGGTTCCCTATCCTTTTGTGAATAAAACTTGATTTTGATCAATGTGGCACTTTGTCCTCTAGTCATTCGTGCCTCACTGGTAGAATAATATAGGAAGTGTAAAGGTACTGTATGAGAAATGATGTAAACAGGCAGACCACTTCATATGACTACGTATTCTATTGCTTTACAGTCTTCCTATTATCTCTATTTTGACAAGATGTTAACAGTTTCGTTACACCAAATGTTTTCTGTTTACATAAAAACTTTGTTAGGAATTTAATTTTCTTTAAAAATTTGTTCAGAATCAAGTCCATATACTGTACAGTACAGTACAGTATATGGTAATAAAGAGTACAGTATCTAAAAACAAAATTTCTATTATTTTTTCTTATTACAGTACTATGTACAGCCTTACCCAGTTTTCCTCAAATGAGTCTGGAACATCGCCTTCTTCAATTTCTCGAAGTTTTTGTTCCCTTTCTGCTTGCTCCATGTAATACTCCATCAATGCCCCCATTGTCTCAGCTGACAGCTCCAGTTCCATTATTTCATCTTCACTTTCACTGCTACTCATCTTTAAAGGCTATACTGTACCGTATTCCTCAGTGTAATCTGCCAAAGAAAATGTGAAACATCTTTTAATTTCTTAAATCTATACTGTACAGCAAATAAAACAGTTAATCATCTCAAAATAATTTTTCTACAGTCAAATGCCAATGTCTTGAGATATGCATGAACCTAGTTCCGACAGATGGAAATACTCTCTATGAAGCCTATACAGGTAGTTCTGCTATAACCCGATAATTGTGTTCTTGTAAAATATCGTGTTATAGAAAATCGCGTAATAGAAATAACAGGGCTTATGGAGAAAATAGGGTTAGGTGCAGATTACTCGAAATCGAAAAAATTTAGTAGTTAGCCTAACACAAAGGATAGCACAGTCTAAATAAATGTTACATTCATATCTAATAATGAAATCATACAGTAAATGTAACACTTTACTTGATGGGGGAGAAGGGTGATTTTGAGGTTGATAAAATCGAGCTTCTCTTCAAGTGTTATATCCTTTCTTTTACGATCATCACCGGGAATTCTATCACCAGAACGCTTCTTGTTGATATTCTTCTTTACTATATTCACATTATTTAAATTTTTTTTTTTTCTAATTTATTGTTTTTTTATTACAAATATTAATGATATTCTTTATTTCAGGGGTTTAGATGCATATTTATGCACTTTTTTACAATTTTTACAATTTTATATTATATTTTTCAGTGTTAAGTGGTTGTATTTGGGGGCCTGGAACGGATTAATCCTATAACGAATGAATGCTATAACGAACAAGGTTCTAGAACCAATTAGATTCGTTATAGCATACCCCACTGTACCACAAAATTGGAGAAATAGTAAGCAAAAATCGCGTTATAGCAAACAAGCGTTCGCGTTATACAAATATCGTTCCTAATTCACAAATCGCGTTAGAGCAAATTCGCGTTATCAAAACACGCGTTATAGCAGAACTCACCGTACTGTACACCATAAAACCTCTAAATGCAATCACAAATCTACCGGTAATTATGTCTTCTACTACAAATTGAGGTAAATTTTTCCTTTGGGACATGAATCCCTAGGGTTTGACCAATATGTTTTCCTAGTGTATTCTTGTGTGTTAAACGAATATGACCTTCATTTCTGGCGGAAATTTATATTCCCCCCCTCACACTAACGATAATGGGGGTAAACCTGGGAAATCAGGGTTTTGGGTGGGGGAAAACACGAAAACGATTCATCAGACCAAACCTAACCTAACCTAACCTTTGGGCCGCGCCATGTCCGAAAGTTAGAAGTCCGAGATCATGTATTTACAAATTTTGGTTTTTATCTTCTTTAAAAACTTCTTGGCCAATTACAAAACCACCGATGCTTTTCCTTTCTAAATTTACAGTGCAGCCACTCGACAGACTTTGGGAGAACACCGTGATTACGTAGAAATTCTATAGATTTATCGTCTTTCGTAAAACTCGGCAATAAACCCAAAATAATCATAGGAGCACGATTGACACTCGACCACGGCCATTGTCGCACTGGTCATTGAATTTCCAAGCTGTAGATTTTCAAATCTTTACCCAGGCTGCTTTAAAAAATGCAACTGTGATTGGTAAAAGAAAAATCACGGGTTGATATCGATACATCATTGGTCATGACTGGTTGACGTCAGTCAATAGTGCGCCTGCTTGATCCACAACTCGGTTTCACGGCGGTAACATCTCCTGACAGACGAAGACTGAAAAGTTCCTAATATCAATTAAATTCAATTGTGTCGCTATTATCCATTTCCGCCATGTATATATGGGGTTCAAAATGCTCAGAATAGGGAGATCTAAATGTTTAAGTAGTTTATAGCTTTTGTGCACGCACTGTCCAAAAGTAAAATAATATCCTAATTGACTAAACTTTCTTCTATGGTTAATTTTCAAAAGTAGCTGAGTATTATCGCATTTTCAACCAAAATGGTTCTCGAGTTGACCCATATTTCACTTATTATTCAATTGCAACAAGTCAAATTAGGGCTCAGAAGATAGCTATTGACGAGATCTATTCATCTATAAGTTAAAAAACTTTCGAATGCACATTGGTTGAAAATGCAACAATACCAAGGTATTCATTCTAGGTTAGGCTAGATTATTTTAGGTTGGTTTTTTTGAGTTGAGCAGTGTGTTTTCTGGTGATTTTTTTGTTTTATTCGAATTTACATTGATTTTTGTTGGAAATCACTTTTGTGGGGGGAGGCTATCTCAAAAACGAGCGACTTCTGACAAAAATCAATATCAAATTCGAATAAAACACATCAAAAACCATCGGAAATTCAAATTGCTCAATTGATGAGCCATATTGGTTGCAAATGTAAATTTACCGGTAGCTGGTTAACCTGAACCACTGTCAATAAGTCTTAGAAAAAATAAGCAAAAATAAATAAAAACACCATTGCACACCTAAAGCACCAAGTATACACATCCAGGTATAGTAAGCTGATTAGTGGCTGGGGGAAAAAATGGAATCTTAGGAATTTTATAATTGCAATCAATAATTTAGACAATTCTAAGACACTTATTAAACAAACTAAAGGTAGTATTTTTACAATAATATACTATTCATTGTTATTTAAGGTCATGACACGTTTCCAAATGTTCGTATATTTGCTTAAATAATGAAGAAAATTATATTAATAAATTGGCAACTCAACTACAACCACAGCTGCCCACAAGATTCTCACATCAAATTTTCTTCATAATTTAAACAAATATACGAACATTTGGAAACTTGTCATGATCTTAGATAACAATGAATAGTTTATTATAAAAATTCTACCGATGGTTTGTTTAATAATTATCCTGACAGTGATACAGCCGAAAACAGATCCATCAATCACTTTCATACAGCCTTCCTTTACCCAGTATTGCGAGCACGAGACCCAGGGTGGGGCCGGTGCATCTTTGGCTGACTGTACATACAGGAACAAGTACTGTAGAATAACAAATAAGCAACAAAAACACAGAAAACACTACTGCACACCTATACGGTATTTAGATGATGCTCGGTGGTTCATCCCATGCTGTACGAATCCCCCCAATATATCATGACTGTCTTTTTCTGATTTACATTTAGAAACATCTAGATTAAAGAATACATCCACAAGAAAACCCCCTAAAACACAATTGCACACCCATATTCATGCCGCCATTAACTAGCATTACTCACTGGTTCGTTCCTGCAAAAGTCTACTGTTTCATTGTTAGTTTTCGGTAATTAGTTGAATCACCTCAGGCCACAGCCCACTTCATTCACCTTCCTTTCAGATTAAAATAAGCCTTATTGTAGTGCCGATACCGGATCTACCACTTAAAAGTATATTCAAGGGTAATAGTCTATTAGTTGCTCTCATACCTAATTTAAATAAACAAAATCCCCCAAACTGATAGTTTAGTGGCGCCCTGTACAGTATAATATGTACCAAGATAACCTCAAGTATACCTCACCTTTATCATATACACATCACTATTTATTATTTATCAAGTATTTTAAACATATCCAGCATTCCTCTACACTAGACAATGCAGCTTTATCTCCTGTAGCATATGCAACTACATCTACTATAAACACGTGTCACCTGTCACAAGCCAGCCAGCTGATCCTTGCAGCCTCTCGGTCAGTCGCTGTAGGAGTAGTAGACCTGACTCATGTCTGAACCCCACAACCGAACCGCATCACACCCCGAACCCCGTAGTATAGTCATATTTCAAGGCAATGAAACCCGGTCTCTCTGATACTTATAATATTTACTTTATAGTTTTGACTTTTGTTATAACCATACACATTATTAGATGAAAATTCACGTGTATATATAAATGTAAAGTAATACAGTACTATACTATACGATAACATAGTTATACTTATTTCTTACATAAGGGGTTCGGGGTGTGGCCCGGTTCGGTAGCGGGTTTTAGGTCGTCCAAGGTCGATATGAACACCGAAAACACCGAGAATATTCAGGGAATCTTTAAGTTGAATGAATTAAATTTTAGGAATGAACCATTTTTCTATATTATGTAATTTCATGTTTCGTATCGAAAGTTATGAAAACGTTGACTCTAGCAATTTCAAATATAAGTCTTTATGCATAACCCACTGTCACCGAGGAAAAGGCTTTAACTGAACAATAATTTGTCATGAACAATTAATATTTGCCTGGAATTTTTATCACAATATCAACGCTTATGTCAGGGTGTGATCTTGGGGTGGCTGTACGTGGCTGTACGTTTCTTGCTGCACTGCAACTTTCATGGCGACCATGACCTGGCAACCTTGGTGCCTGTTTATTTATGTCTTGTGTCATTGCAGAATTAGTTATTACATTATTTTGTTTGTGGTGCTTAATACAACAAACATTGTTAATTGAAGAGGGTAAGTCTTACTAGAGACTGCCCAGGACATGAGATGAATTAGTCAGGTTTACGACGATGTGATATCGATAGCAGGGGGTTGAAAAACATTTCACATGCATGTGTACGACTTATTATAGATACAGTACCGTATAATATAGTACAATACGGTCGGAAAATCACTATAATACAATAACCGTTTGGTAGTATGAATGTAGGGGGAAGTTTATAAAAGTAAAGGTGTGTGTGTGTGTGTGTGTGTGTGTGTGTGTGTGTGTGTGTGTATGTATGAAAGAACATCACGTAATGAGTATGTGTTTAATAACTATTATGTGTATATGTGTGTGTGTGTATATAATCTAATGTCCATGTGTTCACACTGCATACGTGTATTGTGGTGAAGTGGTCTTCAGTCTCGGCTTGTATACAACTAGTTCCGTGTTCGATCCCTAGGCATGGTAAAATCATGGGCAAGTTTCTTTACGCAGCTATCATATAGGGAGGTACTACCATCCAAGGACTGAAAACAGTAGTATTTTATCCTTGGAGGTGCTGTCCCTATTAAAAAATATCCTGATTTTTTTTTGGGGGGGAAGGGGGGTGTCATCCGCAACCAACCTCCTTAAATACGGGCTTGCCAGGGGATTCCTCCCCTACAAACGCTGTTTGTCGCTGAGTAGCCGACCCCACTAAATCCCCAGTGTATGCCTCGTGGTCTGGGTCAACCAGCGCCGCCATACATCACGGAGCGGGGGTCAACTACTAAGCCACGCCTACCCCCGCTATTTAAGACCTGACCTCGTGGTGACCTGCCTCTTTTCTACCTACACCAACCAGCCAGCAACACCTCCTCCGCCTGCTTGGCGGTCCTCGCTCCCGCCGGCGAGCATGGCGACCCACAAGCTGTCCTCCTGTGAGCATCCTCACCAACCAGCTCTCTCTACATCACGCTTGTAACCATGTTGCCTTCCCAGCACCAAGCTGCATTGTACATCCAATACAACATGTATATAGAGAGCACATTGTGAGTTTTCTTTCTCCATTCCATCCTGAGTGTGAACACAAACATCTCATCCCCACAACCCCCCCACCACCACCACTCATACACTTCCCATCTTCAGTTCAAAAGGTGGTCTGGCCATATTTTATATGCAAGCGGCTCCCCCAGAATTATTACTCACTTTGTTACTTTACGTGACTGAAATTGAAATACTTTATTGACAATAAAACTATTACATCAAAAGGACAGGGTAGTATACTACTCCCATTACGTTACTGAGATTACGATTCCCACAGTCTGAACCACCTACAGCTCGAACTCATAGCTTACCTCGAACAGATGTTTTGAGGTATGGGTGGAATATAATTATGAGTTACGGATCGGGAGTTTTATTTTTCTTTACCAAGATCAGCTGGTGGTTTTGTTTATATACTGTAATTGAAGGTACTCAAACTATCCAACCAGGAGCGAACTCGTAACAATGGTTTTAAATTAGACAAATTTAGATTTAGGCGTGAAATAGGTAAACACTGGTTTGGAAACAGAGTAGTGGATGAATGGAACAAGTTACCAAATATCATCATTAACTCGAATACGCTGAATAGCTTCAAACATAGGTTGGATGCTTATATGAGCAGTAGGGGTTGGTTGTAAACGGGACTGCCCAGTATGGGCCAATAGGCCCGCCGCAGTTTCCTCTATTCTTATGTTCTTATTGCCCTCTTCGTCAGTTGTAAGCTATACTAGCCCTGCAGTTTGGCGGTTTGGTCTCTTCTAGGTTTCACACCATTGTTAAGTAGTACTGGGTATTATAGGTATATATTGGATCATTATGTATACACACAATAAAAAGTTGTATGTCTCACGATTTTTAATTGTTGATGGACTAGTGCATTTTTTTTATAGTACAGTACAATATTCTTTTATTTCATCTCAGTGTTACACAAAACGGCTTTAAGGCGTTATTTTCCCTAAAAGTCTAGTTTCACACTAATTTCTTTGATTTATAAAAGATATGCGTGTATTACAATAAAGATAACGTTAACTAAAATAAAATATTACATAATATATATATATATAATATATATATATATATATATATATATATATATATATATATATATATATATATATATATATATATATATATATATATATATATATATATATATATATATATAATATTTTATTTTTGTTAACAATTATCATAATAATATAATAATAATATATTATATATATATATATATATATATATATATATATATATATATGTATTATATATATATATATACATATATATATATATATATATATATATATATATATATATATATATATATATATATATATATATATATATATATATATATATATATATATATATATATATATATATATATATATATATATATATATATATATTACAAACAAACAAGAACATTGTAATTTTTTTATTTTTTTTTAAATTTTACAATTTTACATATACGTATAGTATACATAAAAATTACATATTAACATATTTGTCCGTGAAATATTTGGATGACTTTTCTTTTAAAATACACTTGATCATGCATTTATTATAAAATATCCTGCTTTTAATAAAGGCTATAGTCTCCTTAACATTAAAATTTTCCTTCCTACTTAACCACATACAGTAAATATAATCTTACATTAGCATGATCATTGTATTCTTATCCTTATTATTACTACAGTTAATATTAAACATTAAGAAATACAGAAATAATTTACTATTGACAATGCAGACTATATTCAGGAAATTTTTAAACCATTTAATTATCTCTTTGTTATGGAAACAGAAGTAAAATACATGTTATGGATATTCTACCTCACCACATCTTAAACGATTGTCATCTTGTTTTATATTTAACATTTTTAGTCTCTGATATGAAGCCTCTCTGGTGGGGATCCATATATTTACATGTACAGGTAATATTTTTCCAAATATAAGGACATTTAAACAGCTGATACTTTTCTTCTACTGCTGGTTTAGTCCATATCATTAACATATTGTATACCGTACATCTTTATTCCTGACATTGGGAAAGTTATGATGCCTTGCTATCCTTTTTAGGGTATTGATTGCATTACTATAATAAGGTGGAGACAAGTAGGAAACATTATCTGAAGGTTTCATTTCTAGTAGATAACTGGTCCTTATACTTGTATAATATGGAGTTAAATATTTCCTCTTTTCATGGTTTGATGCAATTTTTATGAAAGTTGTACATAATACAGCAGCTGCTTTACAAAACACATTAACTACTCTAATACCACCTTGTTTGACAGGTAAATACAGAGTTTGTCTTTTACCGTAATTGGCTGGTGTACATACCACTCCATATGTATTTAAAAAACATGATTCACTTTTCTGTGAGTACATTTTATTTAATGGAAATATATGGGATAGGTACCATACCTTGGACAAAACTTTTGAGTTCACAGTAATTGCTTTTTGGTACAAAGATAATTTTCTGTTTGATAAACAATTAAGAGTAATGGCGATATTTTCCAACATTTGGTTCCAATTCATATTAACAGTGTTCATAATTGTCAAAATATATAGTGCCTAAAATTCTGGAATATTCTGCTGATCTCATCCACAGCACAGGCCATAAATCTCTCTTCTTCCACTCACCCAAGCCCATAATACTTGTTTTATCTTTGTTTAATTTAGCACCTGTTGCTTCCTCATACCTTTCTATTTCTCTGCTAGCCTCAATTATGGACTGGTTTGTAACAACAAAGACTGTAGAATCATCAGCATATCCCTGTATGGGAAATGTTATGTTGTTTGGTAACTGTGGGGGAATTATTCTGGCATTGCTGTTTACTGATAAATGAAAAGGTTCTTGGAAAATATAAAGAGAATCATAGAAAGAGAGCATCCTTGTCTTACTGATCTTTCAATCCTGAATGACTTACTTTGTATGACATTAACCAGAACCTTACTCTCTCAATTTCCATACAACATTTTAATCCAGTTTACATAAACGTTGTTAATGCCTAATTTTTCCATTAACCTAAATATAAATTTAATATCAACTGTCAAATGCTTTTGACCAATCTAAGTTTATCATGGTACATTTTTGGTTCTCACTATTGACAAATTGCATTATATTCCTAATCATGATATTACATTCTATTATTGACCTTCCTTTAATACAACAGTATTGGTCGTTTGACAATATTAAATTTAAAAAAAATTTAACTCTTGCCAATATTTTTGCAACTATTTTATAATCTACAGTACATTTAAGAGGTCTCCAGTTTTCAATTAAATTCAGATTCCCCTTTTTAGGCACTAGCTTTATTATTCCTGTATTTTGTGACGCACTTAATACTTTATTGTTAAAGATAAACTGAATACAGGCATCCCCCGCGTTACGAAAGCCCGGGTTGCGGAATTTGTAAATTATGACCGATAATTTCGCGATGTGGCCCATAAATCCTCCCTTATGGAAATTGGGGTAAATTTTAACAATTAAAAAACAAATCACTATAGAATTAAAATTTTTTGTTAAAATTATAATTCGTTTGGTGTGGATTTCTTGGCGTTTGCTACTGCCAAGCGTGGCGTTGCCACGCGGGGTCACTCCATTGTTTACATCCAGTGTGCGCGCATGTTTCTCAACCCTGCAGTTGGATTTAACTTTTACAGACATACAGTAAGTACATTACTGTGCATTACCCTTATTCAAGATGACTGGAAAGAGGCCATCAAGTGAAAATGACTGCAGTAGTGCAAAAAAGAAGCCACAAAGGCATTACTTTGGATATAAAACTTGATGTTTTAAGAAGGTTTGATGCTGGAGAAAAACTTAGCCAGATTGCAAAAACATTAGGTCTTGCTACTAAAACAGTGGAACAATCCCTCCCAATAACTCCCTTTGCACCACCTATCCTCACGCAGTGGTCAACATCTTTTGTGGTGAGTACAGTACAATATGTTTATTTATTCCAACTGTATATCTCTTCATATTACATGTATATCATAAATTATATAATGTACTGTATTGCATGTGTTCATAAATTTTTATTTTCATTCATAAAAGTGCTTGAATTACTTTTTTGGGGCCCCGAAAAAAAATCCTTAGGAACGCATCTCCAGTTTTATAATGGAAGTCAATGGGAAAATAGGTTTCGCGTTACGGAATTTCACGATACGGTCAATTTTCTAGGGACGCAACCCTTCCGTAACGCGGGGGATGCCTGTAACATCAATGATCTCTACCTTGATAAATTTCCACATATGTTTATAAAACTCTGCAGGTAGACCATCACTACCTGGGGATCTACCAAGGTTGAGATTATTAATTGCTTCCCATATTTCCTTTTTGTTTACTGGTTTTATTAAAGATTCATTTTCCGATTCCTTTAGTCTTGGTTTGCAATTCTCTATAAAGTTTTCACAGTATTCATAATTTGTTTCAACTCTTTTATGTAGATTCCTCCAAAATTCTTTAATTACATAGATTATTCCTTCTATATTCTCTATTTCTTCACCATTTTCTCTCTTAACCTTAGTAATTAATTCCTTGTTTCCTTTGCCTTTTTCTTTACAGATCAAATGGCGAGAAAGCTCTTTTCCTTCTATTGTCTTTTATGCTGGATCTTATTTTAACACTTTCACAAATTTTTTTCCTTAATTCATTTATTCTGGTTTTCAATGCCTTTATTTCTTCTTAATTCACATCAAGGTAGGTGACATTACTCCAATCGGATTTACTGCTGTTATTGCTCACTCGCTGTTTCCTGTCCTGTAACCACTCACTAATCCATTGTAGAATATCTCCTTTAATGCCACGTGCCTCCACTTTTCTTATTAGTCTTTCGTGTGGGGCTCTGTCGAAGGCTTTACTAAAGTCAAGATATACCACATCATAGTCGTGCTCCCTCTTCAACTGATTCAAAAACAGCTGAAAATAATGTTAATAGATTAGTTAGACATGAATGCCCGCTTGTGAAGACATGTTGGGAATTATTGATCAACTTGTGTTTCTCCAGATGATTTCGAATAGAGTTTGAAATTATTACTTCCAGTAATTTGCTTACAATTGATGTTAGACTGATTGGACGGTAGTTAGAGGATAGTAATCTATCTCCCTTCTTGAAAATCGGTATTACATTCACTATCCTCCAGGATTCTGGTACTACATCCGATTTTAAGGACAGGTTAACAAAATGCTAAGGGCATACTATGCTCTTCCTGACATTCCTTTAATACTCTAGCAAATATCTCATCGGGACCTGGCGACTTATTAGGCTTTAGCTTGTCTATTTGCGTACTAACGTCGTTACTAGTCACTACTATCTCGCTTAATCTATTTTCTTCGCTATCTCTGTATACTGTAGAGTCGGTGTCTCGGGTATCTTGTTTAAATTTTCGGTGGTGAAAACTGTTGAAAAATATTTATTCAGATTATTGCTCATTTCTTCGTCGTTATCAGTTAGCTCGCCGGTATATGACTGTATTGGTAATGTACTGTACTGCATCTCAATAGTGTCGTGAGTTCGATCCCGGTCCCCGGTAATGTGAGAATTTGTTATTCAGAGTGATCTTACCAAACGGCGCAGGTTTTATCCTGATACTTCGGTTTCCTCCTCTGCTATCGAGAGCAGTGATGGTTGTAATAAAGAACAGCAATTAGTATGCGGTAAGTAATAGAAATAATAAATTTAATAATAAGTTTTCTCCTTCTGAATTGCCTTTGTCTTTAAAATCTTCCTTAATCATCTACAACCCTACTTGGCACTCTTTGTAACTTCTTAACTTACTCGCAAGAGAATGAAATTACCACCGATTTTTTTCTCCTTTCAATCATGTCTCAGTTTTATGCTTCCTCTTTAAAAAAAAATAAATACAAATAAATAAATAAAAATTCGATCCGCCCATAACTTCTTTCACACCTCACCAACATGGATTCTGTTCCCGTGTATACCATTTCCCTAAGCAACGCTACCAGCGTGACTGAGAGGAATAATGACACTTGTGTGAGAGGTGTAAAAAAAAGAGGTTCATTGACTGTTGTTCACATTAGTTAGAAACAGTGGATTACTCTCTTCAATGACAATTTCAAAAACATGTAAGACATTTCAGTATTACCACCACCTAGCACAGTGTTTATGTTTTAATGTCCTCAGGTGCTTCAACTGCTAGGATCTTTAAACAATTATAGAAGGGGTGCAGTGGCCGAGTGGATACACATAAGGTTCACTAGTTCGCGCCCCAGAATATTATCAGTCCAAGGGGCGCCTGTGGTAGAGCGGTACCGCTACCGCGCTTGCCTCGCAAGCCAGAGGTCACGGGTTCGATTCCCGGGCCGGTGGGAAGTTGTTTGGACACACTTCCTAGCCCCCCTTGGTCCCTGTTCACCTAGCAGTAAAGTAGGTACCTGTTGTAAATCGAAAAGTTGCGAATTCGTATTCAGGGCAAGTTGTTGGAGCTTCCAATAGCTTGCTGACAAAAACCTATAACTCTTCAGGCTTCTATGCCCTCGACAAAAAAACCTATGTTTCCCAGATGGGCGCTGTAATCGCTTCTGCGCTTCACCTTGCACAGGATGTAGGGGGGTGCCCAATAAACTAAAATTACCAGTCCACCCAGTTGTGAATGGGTGACTCAAGGTACTGTACATCCTTTGGGTAACTGACTTTACAGTTGGTCAGGTGAAGGGAGTCGAGCGCAGTGCTGTCCTTTTACCTCAGGGTGCTGTGTTCACAATTTTCTCAGCGGGCTGTCTGGCCTACTGATTGACTAAGGTTACAGAAACTGTGTTTGCATTTTCAGTTTATTAATAAAACAAGTACCCACCAAGTTCATGTCCAAAATAAGTTAATTGGTTTTACAAACAGCTTTTTGTATGAATTCTTAAAAAGTATATGTATATACAAATATATGAACTCAAATACTACACACACAATTATACGCTATATATATATATATATATATATATATATATATATATATATATATATATATATATATATATATATATATATATATATATATATATATATATATATATATATATAAACACTCGCACACTCATATAACATAGTTAATCTCCATCAGCAGGTAGAGTGGCCTGGGTAGTACTTTTTCTATCGCGCTGGGAGCCCAGTTTTAAAACACTCGCACACTCATATAACATAGTTAATCTCCATCAGCAGGTAGAGTGGCCTGGGTAGTACTTTTTCTATCGCGCTGGGAGCCCAGTTTTAAAATCTTAATGGTAGAGGTTAAGCATGATACATTTACATATCTATAATTAATAAATTAAACACATGTGACAATGTTGGAAAATACGTGGCAGAAAATTCGCGTGAATTGTTAAATGAAAAAAAATGCAGTGTATAACAGTGAGACAATCGAGTATTTGTTGCTTGGATCTGGTTAAATAAATGCGCAGAATGGTATTAGGACACAAATTTTGTCATGAGTATGCAGGGCACATACTGTACAGCGAAGGAAATATATTCTGGCATAAATCAGCAATGGTTAGAATGAAATAGGACAATAAATTTCAGGGTTGATGAAGCTAAATAACAAGTTTTGTATATACCGAAGACGGGTGGGAGCTGAGCACACTTTGTATTTTTTAAAGGCGTCCTTTTCAAATTAAGTTAACATCGTATTTGTCATGAATTCAGTATTACAACACCAGGCTGGAGATCATTTGTCAACGAATGAATGTTCCCCATAATTTAGGTGTATGGTTTTATCTTCTGTTTACCTGTACTGTAGTGTTTGATCAACCTCTGACGGGGTCCCATTGTTGTGGGGGATAAGCTAAGGTTAGCTATGTCAGGTTAAGTTAGGTTAACATTTGGGTGATTAATCTTGAAGTGAAATAATCTGGGGGGGGGCGGGGGGGGGGAGCTCATTTTCACTTGATCCAATGAATTTCCTTCTTTTCCGTGGCCGACATAAACTGAACACCAAATAATGGTTCAACTACGCTTTATAACCAGATACCCACAATGGCTCCTAATTGTTGAGTCAATCCTCACACTGTATGTGTCTGTTAAGCATCAAAGTGAATCTAAAATTAGACAGTTTTAGAGAACGATGTTAAAACGAAAATTACCAATTAAATAAAATATGAGAGAATTCCTTACGACTCATTCGCTTAGCCACACGAAGAGCTTGACAAAGACAGACGTAATCGGAATGGCGAAGACTTGTAAATTTTTTTTTTCAACATTACAGAACTGAATACAGTTAGTAGATATTGTATGCCTTTATGGTAAGATATTATTTGAATTATTTTTTCAGTATATTATCAGTATTATTTGATTATAAAGAGAATAATTTACCTCTCCTGTCTAATTAAAATTTTGTCTGGAATCTGTTTTTGTGAATTTTTAGTAAAGAAATGTTGTGTAGCGTTAAAGATTATAAAGTTAGTGAAAAATGGATGACACTCAAGACTAGGAGTTTAGATTAGGGTAAGGTAAGGTAGGTTAGATTAGGGTAAGGTAGGTTAGATTAAGTTACTTTCTGTTAAGTTAAATTAGGATAAGTCAGATAAGGTTAAATTTGGTAAAGTAGATTACGGTAAATTGGGGTAAAATAGGATCAATTAGGGCATGTCATTTGAAGTTAAGCTAAATTAGGGTATATTAGGTTAGGAGTGTGTGACATGGAGGATTAATGTGTGACGAAGGATTAGTGTGTGACATGGAGGATTAATGTGTGACAAGAAGGATTAGTGTGTGACATGGAGGATTAATGTGTGACAAGAAGGATTAGAGTGTGACATGGAGGATTAATGTGTGACAAGAAGGATTAATGTGTGACAAGGAGGATTAGTGTGTGACATGGAGGATTAATGTGTGAGAGAAGGAGGATTAGTGTGTGACAGAAGGAGGATTAATGTGTTGACAGGAGGATTAATGTGTTGACAGGAGGATTAGTATGTGACATGGAGGATTAATGTGACAAGAAGGATTAGTGTGTGACATGGAGGATTAATGTGTGACAGAAGGAGGATTAGTGTGTGACATGGAGGATTAATGTGTGACAAGGAGGATTAGTGTGTGACAAGGAGGATTAGTGTGACATGGAGGATTAATGTGTGACATGGGGATTAATGTGTGACATGGAGAATTAGTGTGTGACATGGAGGATTAATGTGACAGAAGGAGGATTAGTGTGTGACATGGAGGATTAATGTGTGACAAGGAGGACTAGTGTGTGACATGGAGGATTAATGTGTGACAAGGAGGACTAGTGTGTGACATGGGGGATTAATGTGTGACAGAAGGATTAGTATGTGACATGGAGGATTAATGTATTTCAGCAGGAGGATTAGTATGTGACATGGAGGATTAATGTGCGACATATGGATGACTAGAGTGAATTACAACTAATTTTAGACAATAATAAAGAAATAAAACATGTGTGAGGATTAATGACAGGTAAGTCCACAGGTGTGAGGAGTTTTTAATATGATACAAACTTAAGTGGAGGAAGAGTCAGTGAGGAAGATATGCATCAATATACTGGAAATACAATGTTAAAGGTTGTGACAAGGAAGTGGAAGAAGGAAATATAATTGTGTCGTGGTTGGTGTTAAACATTGGGCTGGCTGGAAGGGGAGTGTAGAGGATGAAGTGTGCATCAAACGCTCAGTGAAGTGATTAGTTAGGGAGGAGTGTGTGTGGGGGAGTTGGGGCATGACTGCCTGATGCTGTACAGTAACCATAATGTCTCAACAACCTCAGTAACCATAATGTCTCAACAACCTTTTGTAGAAGTCATCCGCCGATACACTTCGGCTGTACGAAATACTGCGCTTAAATCACACACACACACACACACACACACACACACTCACAGGGGGGGGGGGGATGTGGTAATTTCGAGGTTGCCTTATGGAAGGAGAACACAATGGCAACAAACATCTGCTACAGCAGTTTGAAAGAATGAATAACAGTGAATGATGGGAAAACCTGTTGTGTTGGCCTTTATCTTGGTCATCCTGCGCCATGAAAATTTGAGTGTTATTACAACAGAAACAGTTTATCACTACCACAACCCTTGTGAGTTTTGGTGGAGATCACGGAGATCTGAGTATTGGTACACGGACACCCTGGTGACTGTCCTGCACTGCTGGCGTCCGCAAGCTGGAGGCCACTGTAAGAACTAGTCCTTTGTTGCTCACAAGAAGGTTGAGAGCATGGAACCCCTGGCAACGGCTGCACTACGGAACACGAGCAACTGCCTAGAGCCTTGTCTCTAGACGCAATGTATGACACAGTGGAGGTGGACCGACTCCGCCGAGGAACTTGAAGGTTTTTACACTTATCATCACAAAGCAGAGTGGCAACATTGCAAGCCTGGCACGTGTCTCTGCCACTGGACAAGACAGAGAGTGAGTTCTCTTCAAATCCCATCGGTGGTGGAATTTTTGTACAGCAAGTGTGTGTTTTGCTGTAACATGTTCCTGGCAGAAGCGTGTCAGTCACAGCAGCTGAGGAAATAATGTTTCGTCTGAGAGAGTAGCAGCCTCTGTCCACTGAACAGCCCACAGCGTCTCGTGTGTAATCATGTAAGTTATTAACAAATATTTTGGGGGCTCGAGATCTTGGTAGAGAATTCCATTTACGGTATATTAGAGCTGACTGTATTCCTGCTTCATAGGTCACAGTCGCGACACCATCTTCACTTTCACCAGAGTTTGATTTCAATTTCTTAGACGGCGAAGAACTTTTGTTTTCATGTTTACATCCGTTTACGTTGACTGTGGCAACAGAAGTGCTCAGCGTGTCAGGCATTTGTTGGGTAGTGGTAGCTTGACTGTGCTGACGGAGAGGTGACTGTGTGTTTTGCTGACCGACGAGGCAGTTCAGTAGTGCCGCGACGTCTTGGAAGCCCCCAAGAAGCCGCACCTCATCGACGCCATCAACACCTGTCAATGAAATGAAAGGTTGACACTACGCTGGGTGGAACAATAGCAGTATTCACCCTTTAAATATATCAAACAATACATAACTACAATAAACTTTAATATTTTTTACACTTTGGTGAAATTAGTCTCAACTTCCAAGCAATCGAATTATCTCACTTTTTTATCACTTGTCCAATTTCTCTAATGTCTTTACCTACAGAGTGATCAAAGGTTCCTCCTCTCTTCTTCACTGACCATCACCCAGTACCAGTCATACTTGTGCTCAGGCAACATACTGACCATCACCCAGTACCAGTCATACTTGTGCTCAGCCAACATACTGACCATCACCCAGTACCAGTCATACTTGTGCTCAGGCAACATACTGACCATTACCCAGTACCAGTCATACTTGTGCTCAGGCAACATACTGACCATCACCCAGTACCAGTCATACTTGTGCTCAGGCAACATACTGACCATCACCCAGTACCAGTCATACTTGTGCTCAGGCAACATACTGACCATCACCCAGTACCAGTCATACTTGTGCTCAGGCAACATACTGACCATCACCCAGTACCAGTCATACTTATGCTCAGGCAACATACTGACCATCACCCAGTACCAGTCATACTTGTGCTCAGGCAACATACTGACCATCACCCAGTACCAGTCATACTTGTGCTCAGGCAACATACTGACCATCACCCAGTACCAGTCATACTTATGCTCAGGCAACATACTGACCATCACCCAGTACCAGTCATACTTGTGCTCAGGCAACATACTGACCATCACCCAGTACCAGTCATACTTGTGCTCAGGCAACATACTGACCATTACCCAGTACCAGTCATACTTGTGCTCAGGCAACATACTTCATGATCGTGTGTGGCAGCTGAGCCCGTTGAAATTATCATCTTCTTAAATTAGAGAAAAATAGTTTTATTATCTACGAATTTATTCCTCCATTCAATGAGTTATGATGGTATATTCAGTAAGTACGGACGCATTGTTTATAACACAAATAAAATCATTATCAAATTCTAACAAGATGTGCTCAGATAAGTTGAGTCAAATTTAATTGTTAAAATGAACCCATCGTACTATGCTTCAATCCTAATGATTAAGTTAGGTTAGGTTTGGTAAAGTTCTTTTATTAATGAAGCTTAATAGGAATGAGGTATGATAGAACTGGATTCATTTTACCTTTAACTTGTGAAAATACAAGAGGTAAACGAGACCCCACAACAAGCAACCAGACTACACGACAGGCCTAGTGTAAGAGCGCACGACCAGAGAAGCTCAATGAGGAGAAGGCGTGTGTGTCAGGAAGCTGTTGGTACTTGAAACTGGTTTGTTCATCTCAGCCGTGTTACTTTGCAGTAAATAAAGTAATGCTCAAATTAAATTACTTATTTTTTATATACTAATTTAGAGCACTTTGAGCTAAGGTTAATATTGTCATAACCAAGATGTTATATTCCGAGATATTTAATTTTGTTGTTCTTTTGTTGACGGAGAACTCCAAGAAATATCCTTTTTCTCGTACCAAGATGCGTCTAGGCAGTTTTACACACCACTGTCACTCTCACATCACTATACATCATATTTATTTTAATTATATTGTCTTATTTTGATCAGAGTGGAAGGGAGGGCTGGCAGGTGTGTGTTGTGTTGACTACCAGCGAATAAGAGAGGTAAAGACGGGGTTATTAACGCACCTGAACAGCAAGAAGAGAGAGAACCAGGAGAGCTGCCATCACCCTCGTAAGCATAGTAGCGGAGGTCATCTAGTGAGGGCAAGTGTGGACAGCCACATCCACTCTCTGGGGCAGCTTCTTTCCCATCATCTGACTTGTCCCTCCTCAGTACGTCCACAGCTGTTAAAACAACCATGTCTCTTAAATAATCTAAACCAATAAAAGTATTCGTTTAGATAATTTAGTTTTCTACACCACACATCCCTCAGCTCTACATATAGTTGTCTCTAACATTCCTGGGTTCATCTTCACAAAATATATAGATCCACAGTTTGCACCATGAGTCGCTACTGTACCCATATTCCTCTACCATATGCCAAGGTAGGCTGATATGTTTCACCTGATCTATGATTGAAACCTACATGTGTAAATATATTTAAAAACGACTAAGATGATTCACATAAGTACACATACAACAAGATAACTGGTGGCATACAAGGCGGGATGTTTTCCACTCAATAGGAAGCGGAGACGTGATCCTCAAACTTCCTTCACCTACATATTAATTTCATTATGTCACCCATTTAGAGGATACAACCCTTATCCTCTCGGTCTAATCGACGCCTGGTTTAGGTTTGTAATACCAACCAGTCAACTTTGTATCCTTGGTCACTGAAGACTGCCGGTGGCCCATCTTGCTACACGCCACCTTAAGATCAGTGTTCTCGCCGCCTGGGATGTCAACATTTTCCAACTCCTGTGAGATTTTTGCAGACACCGTGAACTCCTCAGCTGCTTTCACTGACTTCCTCATCCTCCTTCGTCGTCGCTGATACAGGATATAAACGCCCAACACCATGGCTGTAAGAACATCATTACATCTCACCAGGACTGTCCATAACATGACAATAAAGGAAGTTGAGGTAAGATTTGGACGCAACACATTCTAAAGGTATAAATATAAGAAAATAAGGAGTCTGCAATAAGCTGGTTGGCCTGTGCATGGCAGCTCCTGTAGAGAGTTACAACCACTCTCTATCGTCCAGAATCTATCTAGCCTCCTTTTAAAACTTCCCAGTGTCCCAGCACTTACTACAAAGTTGTTAAGCTTGTTCCACTCATCTACCACCCTATTTGTGAACCAGTTTCTTCCTATCTCCCTCATAAACCTAAACTTATCCAACTTAAATCCGTTGCTACGGGTCCTATCCTGCTCTGATATTATAAGAACTTTATCTACAGTATATCTCCTTTATTGATTCCTTTCACCCACTTAAATACTTCTATCATATCTCCCCGCACTCTTCGTCTTTCTAGGGAGTGCAAGTTTAGTTTTTTTTAATCTATCTTGATATAGAAGGTTTCTAAGTCCAGGAATCATTTTCGTCATTCTTCGCTGCACCGACTCCAGTGAATTGATATCCATTCTATAATAAGGGCACCAGAACTGAACAGCATAATCGAGGTGCGGCCTGACTAGTGCAAGATATAGTTACAATAGTAGTCTGCAGAAAACAAATAGACATGAAGAAACTTAGAGGTGCTGCTGCTGGGTCATAATAATTTAGATAAATCATACATTAGAAGTTGGATAGTTGGATGATATGAAAATAACTGATGTGAATTCATTTTTCCAGGATGGTTAGTCACGTATGTTCAAATTATCTTCTTTCAGGACACAGGTAGTGGCAGCCAATCAAGGTCACTGGCTGGAGTACTGTGGTAGACTACTATCACTTTTTTTTGTAGAGAAAGGATGGGTGAAAGAAGATTAGTGGGGGAAGGAAGTTATAGTTCGGAAATTGAAGAAATTTAGGAGGTAAGAGAGGGCAGGTTGACCGCCTAGCTAAGCTAATAGTATGTTAGGGTTGTGTCATGGGTTAGTTATTGTCTGTCGGTACAGGCACTAGACATCCTACCCTGTCCCATATATGGGTGTTTTAAGGGCCTTATTTTGTATTCCGCCGACCCTACTGGCGGATGCTGGTCTAGGGAGGTTGTCTATTGCCTGGCCGTGTAGATCGGGGGTGGTAATCGACCTTTTGAGATTTGGTAACTTTTTGGGAATCATGTATGGTTGTTGTTATCTGGTGGGAGTCTTTGATGGAGTTCTTGCTCTGATCGTTCTACCTTTTGCCAGATTCTGCTGGCCAGGGTGTGCAGCAGCTGGTTGATGGGTTTTATTCTCAGGTCTCTATGTATCTCGGCTGTGGTTTTGGTGAAGGAGTATCTTTCACCTGTGACGAATCTTAGGGCTTCATTTTGGACCACTTGTAATTTTAATATTTGAGCGGTGCTCGTAGTATGAAGAGGTACTGCTGGGTAAGTTAATATCGGTTTGATAAATGTCACCAGGCGGAGTTTCATTTTCTCAGGAAGCGCTTTAAAGCAGTATAGTTTTCTCAGCTCTCTTCTTGCCTTTTCCTTCCTGGTGTGGCCATGATGGGAGTAACCTGTCGTGGATATATGCAGGCCCAAGAGGGTGCCTCTGCTTTTATATTCTATCTGGGCATTATTGGTTACTAATGGATGGGTTTTCCTTCTGCATAAGGGTATCACTGTGAATTTCGGGAGACTGGTTTGGATTTTCCATTGTTTTTCGGAATTATTTACCCTTTCTAATTCCCGCCTGGTGTTGTCGACCTGTAACGCTCGCGATTTTCCTTGATGTGTTGTTATTTGAGTGATGTCATCTGCATACATAATATCTTCGTTACCTATTCTAGTGGGAGGCGGAGTGTCACTTGTGTAGATAATATATAGGGTGGGGGAGAGGACGCTCCCCTGAGGGACTCCGCTCATGAGTGTGTTGTCCTACCCTCAGTCTGGCATTTCTGCCGTCAAGAAAGTTGCAAAGCAACTTTTCAATGTTGGTGGGAAGTCCGAGTTGGAGGATCTTATATTTAGACCGTCATGCCAGACTTTGTCAAATGCCTTCGCTACATTCCCAAGAGTTAGACTACATTGTCTACCACTCGCCGCGGCTCTGGCTGTGTTTTCACATGCCAGGGCTATCGCTGTTGTGGTGGACTTCCCTTTCCTGAACCCGAATTGTCTGCGGTTGACTCTGTTTGTTGTTTCCAGGTGATTTCTCAGACGGTTATTGATGATTTTTTCTAGGATTTTTCCAGGTACTTCGAGGAGGGAGATCGATCTGTAGTTTAGTGGGACGGCGGGGTTCTTTCCTTGTTTTGGTGTTAGGGTAATAATGGCCTCTTTCAATTTAGTTGGGAAGTAACCCGAGGCCAGGCAAGCGTTCATTGTGGTTCTCAGTCTCTCCATGGCCGGGTTGTTTATGTGGCTGAGGATCTCCTTGGTGATGCCTGAATAACCAGGGGCTTTATTTCTGGTATTGGAGATGGCTGTGTTGAGTTCTTCCGAGGTGATTGGTTTGGAGAGTGGGCTGTCCACTCTCAGATCCTTCCATATGATTTCAGGGGAAGGCTGAGTGCGGTGTGTCTGGCCCGGAGTTCATCAAGGACGAGCTCCTCGTGGGTATCATCAAATCCCCTATTCTCTTCATTTGTGATTCGGAAGATGTTCCTCCATATGTCCCTGAATATGGGTTCTTTGTCTTGGTCGTCATATATTTTACTTCCTGCGTGGTCAGTTATATATGATGACTCGTTACGGCTGCAACCTTTCAGTCTCTTAACTCGACGCCAGAACTCTCCTGGATCGTTGTATGTATGTATGTATGTATGTGAGTTGTTCAACTATTTCGGACCATTTAAGGTTGCTTTGTTCCAGAGATCTTGTTTTTTTTTCCTCCCGTATTCATCTGTATGTCTTGTAGCTTACGATGTCCCAACCATGGGTCTCGGCTCTCTGTTGTAGTAGTTGGGACTGTCACCTTCTGCCATCACTGGAGAGAGGAGGATGGCTGGTGATCGAAACATCCGAATAACATTTTGCCTTTCCACTGAGGATATGAATACACCCCCCCCCCAAAAAAAAGACTCATGGGAGTTTGAAAAGGAAATTAAGAATCGGATTATCACCATGAGTAGAAAAACAAGCATATAAGTCCACTTACCGAGGATCATGACGGAGAGGATCAATACGATGACCAAGGCGCTGAAGGAGAGGGTGAGGGAGGTGTACCTACTAGCGGTCACCTCACAGTGCTCACCTGCGGATTGATAACGAGTTATTTGACCTGTATGTTCTTAAACTATACACACTGTACCACTGAACACCAATACATGATAGCTATTAGTTATTTCATACAGGTAATTGGGTAATAATGACAATAATTTTTTACTTTCCTCTTACACTTATTTACGACTTAACAAGAAACATTTAGTTAGAGAAAAGTGAAAGATAATGCATGGGAAAGTTATCAAGTTAAGGGGAAGGAAAATAGCAGTATAGAAGATATAAATAGTTTTAATGTGGATATATGATTCATTGAGAGAATTCTGTATGAACCAGACCGTTGTGAAGACTTAACCATCATACTGGATAGATGTATTTGTGGAGAAGCGGGAAGGTACTTGACTGCTCCAGTGTTTTGGGCTGAGGAAGGTGGGATATACTGCACGTTCTTAATTATCGGCATGATATATGTATGTATGTATGTATGTATGTGTGTATGTATGTATGTATGTGTGTATGTATGTATGTATGTATGTATGTATGTATGTATTTGTTATGCAAGCCTGTTTTATTTAGGTTCGAACCGGAGTTTGACTAAGTAAAGCCTGATTTGGTTTAGTTTCCTTTCTTAGTTTCATTTTCTACTTATTAATCAGCATTGTTTAATTAGTTTATATTATATATGTTTCATGTTTTATTTTGGGTGCTGTGATATTATATATTGTGCCAATTTAGCTGTTTTACCGATCTGGAGGTTTTGCTTCCAATCTAGCGGGAGGAAAATAGACCTAGCGGCTAACGAGAGTCTTTAGCGAGATTAGATATTTGTATAGCGGGTTTGTAGCGGGATGGCAGAGCAAATCAGAGGACTGCCGGTCATTTGTATTCACTCTAGAAATATTTAAAATGACGGCAATAATACGAACAGAGAATAATTCATTGCAACTACTAAACACACGAATTGTGTTATTTTACTTGCCACTTCCCCGTTCCCTCCCCGAATGGAGTGACTGCACGATCTAGAGACGAACCAGAAAACTACTTCACCGATAGTAAGAATAAATCTTCAAGATCAAAAAGTAGTGGTGTAATTAAAAACTTCATGTACAGTCAGCCAATGATGCACCGACCCCACCCTGTATGCAAAGGTTATTGTGATTGGTGGATCTGTATTCGGCTGTATCACTGTCAGGATATTTATTAAACAAACCATAGGTAGAATTTTTATAAGGTCATGAGAATTTTCCAAATATTCGTAAATAATATACGAATATTTGGAAACTGTTTAAAACCTACGAATGAGTGACAACTGTGACAGGAGTCGGCCAGCTGTGTAGTGTCTGAACCTCAGGTAATGGGAGACTTGTTATTTTGTAGTGCTGCTCATTGTTACTGCACCATAATATATTTGTGAGTTGTGACGTGCCATGACACATTTCGTGTATGATTATAGATAGTGTTTTCATGACGTGTTCATTATAAAAGTTAGTGTGAACATTTTGTGTTTTCCTGGTTCAGGGTTTAGTCACCGTCCGCCATTACTCAATCATTTTCATATTACTAAATGATAGGGGTAAATAATGTTGTAAATAGTCTTAAAATGGGCCTAAGTATCTTGCTTAAAGTTCTTTTTTAACTTATATAATTTGTTTTGTATTTGTTCCAATTAAATATTTGTGATGCTTGAAGTACGAAGTGTGTTGAGCCTGTGGCATACTGGAGGAGTTAGTGTAGGACTCAGGTACAGTACACCAACCTGTAAAGGACTTGGTACAGAGGCACAGGTAGCCAGGCTCTCGGTTGATGCAGGTGCCACCGTTGAAGCAAGGAGACCACAGGCACTCGTTCACATCCCTACAAGTGCCAGTCTCCCTCATCAGTGCCGCTCCTTCACCACACCTACAGAGATTCAGTACATAATTCATACAAGGAAAAATGGCTATGAACCCACGGAGAAAATTGAAAGTTAAAACATAAACTTTATTTTTTTTCCTGGATGACCTGAAGATCGGACACCCCTAGATTATTTCACCTGATGATTATATACCCTAATGTTATCTGGAGGGGTTAGGTTAGGTTAGGTTATCTTATCTTAGGTAAGGTTAAGTTAGGTTATCTTTGGTACGGTTGTTAGGTTAGGTTATTGTAGGTACTGTAATGTAAGGTTATCCTAGGTAAGGTTAAGTTATCTTAGGTAGGGTTGTTAGGTTAGGTTATCTTAGGTAAGGTTACGTTAGGTTATCTTAGGTAAGGTTGTTAGGTTAGGTTATCTTAGGTACTGTAATGTTAGGTTAGGTTAACGTTAGGGTGGTTAATGTTGAGGCGAAATAAGGTGATATGGTGGCAGTGAATCTTGAGTAAAGTATAAATATTATGATGATTTAACGTCACCAGAGTTTACCATTTTATAAACAGTTAATAAAGGGAAGATTATGACGAACAAGATGGAGACAGTGGGAAGGAAGAACAGAAAAGATAAGAGGGGTGTGAATAATAACCTAACCTAACCTGAGACATCTAATGAAAGGAGCAATGAATTATCAGAGTACTGTTGTGTGAGGATAAGTCTGGTGCTTGTAAATGTGTAGTAATTGAAGAGAGAGAAGATGTGAACATGAAGGTGAATGTAAGACGTAGAGTGAGAAGGAAAGATACAGTTTTATTTAATGAATGTCTTGCTTCCAGATGACTGTGAGTTATAGTTAGATCCTCGAGTAATAATAATAATGTGTTAAGACCCACCATTGGTCTTTATGAATCCAGATTAAAGAGTTCCTAATCTTGGAAAGAATATTTTAATCAACTTAATTCTTACGATGTCAGTTATATAAGGTACAAGACTAACCCACATTCGTGTCTTCTCCAGACGTCAACACAGGTGAGAGGCTCAGAGCAGCTGACGTTGGCACACACAGGAGGGGCGAGACAGGTAGCGTGGACATTAGTGAACATGGTAGCTTGTGCCCAAGTTGATGAGTTGAGAAGAGGCGGCAGAGGAAGACTTACTCCAGACACCCTCAGGTCACCCAGACACCCTGATGGTGGTAGAAAGGACGGTATGTCACTTATATATATATATATATATATATATATATATATATATATATATATATATATATATATATATATATTATATATTTCAGGTAGTACAAAATAGTGTATATATACAGATATATATACAGAGGAAGATGTGTATACCTGTATATACCTATCATGCGCACCTACATGTGCATATATAGTATATATATATATATATATATATATATATATATATATATATATATATATATATATATATATATATATATATATATATATATATATATATAACCAGGTCAAACTATGCCCCAGAGGCGATACTACCTGTAAGGGCAGTGTGGATACAACACATTGTATATTAAGCCTTCGGAACGCAAGGAGGCAGGTAGCATGGACGGTACTGCACTCAGCCGTCTTCACTTCCCGAAAATATAAACTCGGGTACTCATTTACAGCTGGGTAGTACACACACACATACACACACACACAGAGGCTAGGGACGAATATTCATCTCATGGACACAGAGGCTAGGAATGAATATTCGTCTCATGGTAGACGCCTTCTCTCCCCACTCACAACACTACACATGCAGATATCAACAGTTGCCCACACCATCTTATTTTCACGTTAAGTGTACAGACATATTTCGTTTATTCTTACTAACGTTCGTAGTTGTATGAAACACAAAAATTACACTCAAATCATTTGCTTAAGAAATGTGAATATTGGCTTATTTGTAACTTATACAAAGCCCCACGTTTTATAATTTAGTATAACATAAGCAAAAAGCGAATGTGGTTTCATCTTCAAGTACATTAAATATTGGTAAGCTGAAGGAGGGAAGGATGAAAAGAAGAAGAAATAAGCCAAAAAAAATGAAAAATAGGGGAGACAGATACAGTAGGTGAATGAGAATATGGAATCGTGAACAAAGATAGAACGTGCCAGACCATAAGTCCACCAACTTGTGTCTCCCCTTAAAAGGAAAGAGAAAACCAGTAGTGAAGAGAGTATAGCGTCTTCCTCTCACATCAAGGCTTCCATGACCAATAGAGGATAATCTCACATAAATTAAACAGTTAGACGTTTAGTGTGGTGATTGTTGACGAGATCTGGAGGGTAACATTAACATTACAAAGTGACATCAGTGTATTCTAGTTTGAGGTCTTTACTTTTCCTCAGGTGAATTGGACCAAAGCATAATAGGTTCCAACTAAACGTAATTAATAGGATTGGGGCCTATTGGAATTAGGGTCGATTAGAAATGGGGCGTATCAGGACTATAGTCTATTAAAATTGGAGTCCAATTTAAACAGTTAGGCTGGGGTTTATGAAGGCTGGGTTAATGTAAGTGTTTGTATGTTACCGTCACTTGTACATAACATGTACACCGGCTAGGGACTGTCAGTTGATTGAAAATGTCCAAAGGAGGGCCACTAGACTGGTGCCTGCACTACGGCACCTCAGCTACCCTGAGAGATTGGAGCGCCTGAACTTGCCTAGCTTATACTACAGACGGGCAAGGGGAAACCTAATTGAAGTGTACAACCATCTCAAAGGGCACTACTCAGTCGAGTGGTACCCGATAGTTGGCGAGTACTGAAATAAGCATTGAGAAAAATGTCATAAAAATATTCCGAGCGTCATTACAACCATTAATTACTCTGCAATCGAATTGTCGATATTAGATGCGAAATAGGCTTGCTCAGGAGTACCTATACTGAGATTTTGAACAAAATCGCATATATCGCGATTTGTCTCGGCCCTGAATCTGTAAGGGGGGACCCTTACGTGTTTTTTCACCCAAATATGATTTTTTCTCAGACTTGAAATTTGTTGGGATTAATTTCAGTAATTAAGTACATCCTGAAAAGCATAAAAAAGCCAACCAATCACCTTGGAAACCAATAGTTGGCGACTACTGAAATAAGAAAAATGTCATTAAAATATTTGAAGCGTCATTACGACCACTATTTATTCTGCAATCGAACTGTCGATATTAGATGCGAACTCGACATGTTCAGGAGTACCTTTGCTGAAATTTTGAACAAAATCGCATATATCGCGATTTGTCTCGGCGGATGCTCGGCCCAGAAGGGGTCACAGCTCAAGATTGAAGAAGCTACAAGTCCAGAAAACTGTGAGGAGTAACTTTTTCGGAGTGAGAGTGTTGAACTCTTGGAACACTGTGCCAGAGAGTGTTGTGACGACACCGAGTGTGAGCTCATTCAAGACCAGACTTGACAAGCATTGGAGCAGGTTCAGATACATTAGGAGGTCAGTGCATGCCCAGCATTTGCCAACAGTGCGTAACAGAGACGTGACCGATCGCCCTAGCGGCTAACGAGCTGATCAATGGTGGAGAGGATAAAAGTAAAAGACTTAGGACTTGTACATCGGGACTTACCATCGCGGAAATCATTGTGGACGGTGTGGAGACTCACACCTACATACTCTGGCGAGCCTCCCACATGGACACCTTCATGACGGTCGACCATGAGGGGAAGGGTCCAGCCGAGGAGGGAGGAGGGTGTGGGCGTGGTGTTGTATAGGGGACCGTCGCCCTCGTCCACCATCATCTCCAGCCACTCTCCATATCTGGGGAGTGAGTCGTCAGTTGTTTACTGTCATTCTACACAACACTCAAGTCTGTCTTCATGATAAAGATATGTTGCCATGACTCATAATCATGCATATGTCTCACTTCCCGTATGGCATTTATACATTTGTGTTATGGCAGTATGTTAGCTGTCATGAGAATGCATGAGGTGGTTGTCAATATTATACATTAGGTTATCACTTTCTTGACACTTGTTTAACATTTATGACAATACACTGAGTATCTGCTGAGTCTGTGATAAAGATGTATCATGCCTGGGTACAAAGTAGTGTGCACCACTAACAAAATGGCAGTTTTTTCACCTGTTGGCCTTGACGCTATGCCACTTGCCGTCATTAAGGTGTGCACGTGACAGACACAGCTGGGTGTCAGGCAGGTGTTGTAGCATCAGCTGAACACACATGTGGCCGTCAACCAGCTGCAGGGTCAGCTGATCTCGCCCATGGTGTGACGTCACAGACAACAGTTGTCCAGACTCCTCCCAGGTACGAAAGCTGCAGGTGAGAGAGACAATTGTACGGAAAGTGAAAGTGGGTCCCATAGGCATGACTGCCTGTGAGGGACAGTGTGGATACAGTACACTGTATACTAAACCTTCGGTACACAAGGAGGCAGCATGGCCGTTTGGTTTCCAATTACAACCTGAAGGACTGGGAGTGCCCCGGATTAAACCGAGCGCTGTGTCCACGTGACCGTCGCATTCTGTACCTATATATTCATACCTAAAGCTGTACTTGTGTTCATAATCTAATTAGAATAGTAATCAGTAGCATCATTGGGTGATAACATGAACACACGCAAGTTAAGTTAGTTACTTTGAAGAGTGACATGTAATAACTGTATTGTATACCTGAATGTACACTTCTGTGAATAGTTCTCATTAAAGCATTCGGTGCTACTTCTCATACATAATACACGTAGAGTTACTGACCGCAGCTGCAGGGAGGTGGTGTTGGGCGGCGGGGAAGTGGAGAGCGCCATCTTGATGTAGCTGCTTCTGGAGAACGATGAAGGTTGTGCCTTCTGGTCACAAGCGTCTCCTGACCAGCCTAGGTCACACTCACACACAGGTCCTCCTTGACTCGTTATACACCTGGATACAATATATTTCCCTCTCTATTATATGTTTATATATAACAAGGATCGACTCGTACGTAATTATAAAAAAAAAATATGAAAAGCACTGTAACATTAGTATTGTTGTTAGGTGTTATTTAAGGTGTTCCCCAAACTAAGTCAGAGTTTCCACAACAGACAACTCTTCAAAAATAATCAAAGTGAAGAACGACTCTTTTGGGTAAATATTAACTGATGATGAAATGATACCCGAGAAGATTGTAAGTAGAGGCGACACACAGCACCTACCTGGAGTGGCTACTGCAGGGTCTCCCGGCAGCCAGGCAGTGGTCGTGGTTACGGCACCCGGGAGAACTGTTGTGGCTTAGTACCTCCCTACCGAGGTCCTGCAACTGTAACACGAGAAGAATTCAGGACGAATATTTCAATTCATTGTCTGTATCACCAAAATGGTTGAACAGCTGTACTGTTTTGGACGCACTCAGGAAACCTGTTTTATTAACTATACAGTACATGTGTCTATTGCATAATTTCCCAGTTATCAGCAGGATGACACCTGCAATATCTTTTGCATGACTCCATCTCCTTATACAGTACTGCATCACACACTGCTGCACACATTACGCTAACACCACACAACTGCTGGTCAAGATTTCTAAAGGTTGGGGTTATGTGTAGTGAGTCAACAGCGATGGTCGAGTGGTAGGTCATCTCACACTTCCTACCATCCAAGTACATCACAAACTGGTGTCAAAAGCTCCTGGGATGGAAATCTGACACTACAGGTTAAGTGGGATGTGTTGTTGACACCTAGAGGATGACTGTACTGTACCTCTCACACAAATTTAAGTCTGAGAAGCTGATCCTACATGTTGAATATAAAATGACTTGAGGGGAGGCCACACTAACCTACTATTAATATGAAAATAAAGGAACTATGGCAGTGTTTCCGTATTACTGCTGTAACTCTTGACTGCTGAACGACAGTGTTTGTCTAACAGATTTACCATAAACGGGAGGAACAGATATATTAATTAACAGAAAACGTCGAATGAATGTCCACTACCAATCCACCAGGGACTGACACTGGAGCACCTTACCTCACCATTGATACGTAGGTTGCGCATACAGCCTCGGAAGGCAGCGTGTGTGACAGCCGCTGGCCAGCCGTGGTCCAGGTGGTGGGGAGGGGAGTGAGCCAAGCCGCCAACCTGTAGTGGTGCTGCCACTCTCAACCCTCCTACGCCAGGGGGCAGTGACGCCGTCAATCGACACTCACCACCTCCCTCACACGTGTCTGTTATCACCTCAGCTTTCTGTAACAGTGACATAATCTCCTAAGTTTCAGAATCAATATAAAGACAACTCCTGTATCTTTCACATATAGTGCACTAACTCCTCACCAGGAAGAAGATACAAAATCAATTATATTGTTTTCTGTCCACTGTTTACCGAGGCTTATGAAGTTGTTTCCAACTCAACAATTTATTAACCTGGTGGCGCTGTGGTTGTCTGAGTGTCAGCCTCACCAGTTGTGTGATGGCTACGCGGACACCAACCATTTTTAAGTCTAAATGACATGATGGAGAAAAAAATTTGTTGAAGAATTTTGTGTTTATCAGGTAATCCCACAAATGAAGCGATCACCATTTATCCTTATTGAAAAACAAGAACATTTGTAGAGGAATGACCCAGCCAACTCATACAAACCTCAACCAATCTTCAATTCAGAATATTTGTATCTCTTAGTTATTTATTCTAACTAATAATTTTATAAGATAAGTAACTGTAAATTTACCTGTTGTCCCCATATAACGTCAAGACGATGCCACCGACCATCTGCCAGTGAGGATGTCTGGTGGGGTGGTGGTGACGTAACCTGTGAGGCTGACTTCTTGTGGCGGGTGGCTGAGGGGGCGAGCAACACGGGACTGGTGCCCAGGTCCAGCATCACCCACGGCTGTCCGTCTCGTAGCTCCACACTTAACACATCTTCCTAAACCAAAATTCTATTTCATATTTCTTATGATATTTTTTTTAGGCTATAAGAGTGACTGGCAAGGAAGTCACCTTCATCAACTTTCTGAACATCACTTTGCACTGTGACGCTAAATTTATTTTCTCGTGCAAGAATTATTCCTTTATTGTTAATATGCACGATGAACAATCTGATGCAGAATGTGACTTACCTGTAAGAAGCGTGCAGCTGGGTGGCTGGAGGTAGGTTCCGGGCCAGCGTACAGGAGGAGGCAGGTAGAACAGCTGGTTTGAAATTCGAGAGTAATATGGACATGCGAGCAGGTGGGCACTGAGGGCACCCAGGCCCAGCCGTAACCTGCAAAATGACGACTCAACTGTTTGCAGATGGATCCACTCGTACCTTGTGGACACACGCAGCTTAGGAAACACATTTAAAAAGAATCAGATCATTACAGAGTTATACACTGGTCAGTTGTAAGTAGTTTATATTGTTGAGGAAGTCCTTATTACATGGTTATGTCTCTTATAATGCATGTTATTTAATACACTGCCAATTATACACCATGATGCTCCACTTGATATAATTTGTCTTCGCAGCACACAATATGATTCTTTGTTTACTTGTACTAATTCATGCATTTGGGAATTATTTCGTTCTGTAATCACCCAAGAAACGTTACCTGGGGCCCCGGGGGTTGGCTATGCAGCGTCCACCGTTGAGGCAAGGGTTGGGTTGGCAGGAGGAGGGATGGGTGACGGCAGCAACATTGGGCTGGTAAGCTGCACTCTCTGTGACTTGTCGCTGCTGTTCCTGTAGAATTTGTGGCTGGCGGATGTGACAGCTGCAGCCGCTGGTCATTGTGTGAAAACGTGGAGTGACTACGGCCGTGGTGTTGGCGTCGACCACCCACGCCCGCGACCCTTCTCTCTGCTCGTGGTGAGGTTGAGTGAGACATACCCCTACGCCCACGTCTGACACCTCCACGCCTGACTCACTTGAGACCTTTAAAATCAAGTAATAGTTAAAGGGTGACAACAACAGTAGTCACGACATTACAAGTTGATAGAGCCGAAATATACAATACTGTGTGTCGGGATATTAGTCCACAAGTAAAGTACCAGACTGCCCTTACTAAAGCCAAGTATATTCTACACCCCAGAAGTTGTAGAGCTGTAAGATATGATAGTCCCCCCCCCCCCCCACGGTAACATACATCAATAAACGTGTTCAGCAAGTACTGTATTTATATCGATATTTTAAACAAAAGAAAAGTTTGAAAAAATATTGCAGATATTTTTTCTCTTGGAATTGTAAATTAACATGTTAACTACTTCACCACACCCAGAATAACAGAACATCACCAAAATTCGCAATCGAAAAATTACAGGTGGGGAGTAATTAAGGCTGCATAACGGGTAAAGTCATTACGAGAAGTGATTACCATAATTATAACTTTTTAACCCCGGGCCCTAATGTTGTGATGTGGCGCTGCTGCTCCTGATGGTCACACTGCTAATATTTCTTCTCTTAGTTTTCGCATTACCATATAACTCCCAGCCAGTATAGTGGGGTGCGAGGAGGGGAGATCCTTAAGGGGTGCATGTTAGGGGATGTGTACACGGGGATGTGCAATAGGGAGTTGTGTGTAGGGAGATGTGTAGAGGTATGTGATAGGAAGGTGCGTTGTAAAAACTAAGAGACTTTATTTTCAAAGGAGGAGGGAGTCACCTGTTGGCGGTGCAGCAGGAGGAGCTGGTCGAGGGGCTGACGAGGGCGAGCAGCCAGCCACACCTGCGTCTCAGCACCTCTTGGAGTGGTCATGCTCTGTCCCTCGAGGGAGACCACCACCACTTCTGCACCCGCGATAGACTCGACCGATTCCACCAGAGCTTCGAGTGGAGACCTTCCAACTCCCTGATGGTGATGTAAGTAGCTTGTAGACCTGGCTTATGAGGGAAAGTAATTTGTACATAAAAAAACCACAGGTAAACAGAACCAGGTGCAACAGGGAATGATCGAGTGAAGTCGTGAGGTATTGATGATTGTCTCTCTTCGGGTTTCGTTATGCATTTTAAGCCTTTCTTTCCCATTTTCTCTCGTGCATTGACAAGTATAATGCCAGACGTGTTTGCAAGATGCTAATCCTGAACACACAAAGTGGCAGTCATTTTACACCTGTGTCGTAAAGCCTCACTCACCTGGCGATGGGTGATGAGGTGCTGGGGGGAATGTGAAGTGAGGGTGACGGGGACGGCCCAAGGGATGACTTCATGACTCAAGGTGTTGACTTGTACCGTCACGTTGGCCAGCACGTCCACCTGACCCTGGGCGGCGTCACTCACCCAGAACTGAAGGAAGTACCTGGAGAAGGGCTGGATTGTCTTTTACACTGAGGATATACTTACACTCATCATACACCTACACTGAGCCTATACCTACACTCGTCATACACCTACACTGAGCCTATACCTACACTCGTCATACACCTACACTGAGCCTATACCTACACTCGTCATACACCTACACTGAGCCTATGCCTACACTCGCTATACACCTACACCGAACCTACACCTACCTTGAACCTACAACTATGTTGAGTCTAAACCTACAGTCTAAGCCTATACTGAATCAACACCTACTATACCTACACTAAATCTGTGGGTATGTGGGTTTTCCACAGGGTGCTGTAATGCGTCTAGTGTGGCAGCATAATGTTCGTGTTAAGGTGCAAGCACTGCTTGTTTCCTTTCGCTATCAGCTACTGCCGCTGGCTAGCCCTCGTGGTGAACAGGGAAGCAACTTGCATAAGTCTTCCCCTGCCAGTACACAGCCTCTTCACCATCAAGACTCCTGCTGTGCCTCCTCGTGGCAACACACGATAACTGAGTGCCTCTCGGCCCCAGGCTATACCAACAGGAGATCTCAGAGCAGCAGTGGGCCCCAGAGGTACGGCGCACAGGCCCACCGGCGTGTGGACACGCCCTGTCGCCTACCAACCACTGCCCCGCTGCGTTGCGGGTTAATCTTAGGCGGCATAAGGCTACTGGAGTAAATCCCGAATGAACACTCTGCGGTGTCCCACCACCAGGCAGAGCCTAACAGACCGGGCTTCTGGCAGGCCACCGTGACTCTGGACACCAGAAGGTCTTTATGAGTATGGAATCCATCCTCGTCAGACGACACCTCCGCTGACTCGGTCACGTGATCCGGATGCCCGAACATCAGTTCCTCGCCTCGCCAGATATTTCGAGGGCAACTTCACTCATGCAGCTGGTCCGCCGGCGACTAACATGAGATATTTAAAGATCATAGTAAGAATCTATTGAAGTGCGACATGCAGCTTACAACCATAGAGAAGCTGGCTGCCGACAGACCAGTGTGGCGGTCCACCTATGCTTGTGGTATTAAGCACCTGGAGGACAATCTGTCTTGGAGGTGCGTCCGACGACACCATCACCCCTGACTTCAACACCCCGGCCCAACCTGCGGCAAAGTGTGGGGCTCCCGCATCAACCTCCATAGCCACATGGGGTGGCTGTCGTTCACCCTCATTACTCATTCACTTGGACTGACGTCCTCAGCGACTACGATGGATTGCCATAAGCAAGTAAATGAATTCTGAATCTACACCTACACAGATCCTACACCTACACAGATCCTACACCTACACAGATCCTACACCTACACAGATCCTACACATTCTTTACTATACTATATATGAAATTTTACAAACTACACCCAACAAACACCTACACTGAGGTACACTCAACAGGTTAGGTTAGGTTAGTCTAGGTCAGCGTTTGGTTATATTATGTTATCTTATTCCTTCACCATAATAAGATGTTCTACATAATTTATTTTTGAATACTTAAGTAAAGTCTCTGTTACCGTGAGAGAGAGATATATTCTTCAAAGAAATGTCTACGATCCAAATATTGCTACAAACTTCGTCCATTTGACGCTGAAAGACGTTCAAGAGAATCACTTCTGCCTTCTAAGAACTTTCCCCATTTTACTGTGATAAATGTTCTTCAGGAAAATATCTAAGATTTAAGAGGTGTAAAAAATGTGCAATATTTTACAGAGAATAAAGTAGTTTACTGTACAGCGTCAGACGGGAAGCTTGCTGATAGTCGTTATATTTTACGATGGCAGTAGTTACTGTATTGAGAAATGGTTATTGTTCATTGAGACCCAGTGTGACTCAAGACGACCCAGTGTGAGACTCAGGATGACCAGTGTGTGTGTCTCAGGAAGACTCAGTGTGTGACTCAGGAAGACCCAATGTGTGACTCAGGAAGACCCAGTGTGTCTCAGGAAGACTCAGTGTGAGACTCAGGAAGACCCAATGTGTGACTCAGGAAGACCCAATGTGTGACTCAGGAAGACCCTGTGTGTGACTCAAGAAGACCCAGTGTGTGTGACTAAGGAAGACCCAGTGTGTGTGTCAGGAAGACCCTGTGTGACTCAGGAAGACTCAGTGTGTGACTCAGGAAGACCCCTGTGTGTGTGACTCAGGAAGACCCAGTGTGTGACTCAGGAGACCCAGTGTGTGTGACTAGGAAGACCCAGTGTGTGTGACTCAGGAAGACCCAGTGTGTGTGACTCAGGAAGACCCAGTGTGTGACTCAGGAAGACTCAGTGTGTGACTCAGGAGAGGCCCAGTGTGTGACTCAGGAGACCCAGTGTGTGACTCAGGAAGACCCAGTGTGTGTGACTCAGGAAGACCCAGTGTGTGACTCAGGAAGACCCAGTGTGTGTGACTCAGGAAGACCCAGTGTGTGGACTCAGGAAGACCCAGTGTGTGACTCAGGAAGCAGTGTGTGACTCAAGGAAGACCCAGTGTGTGACTCAGGAAGACCCAGTGTGTGTGACTCAGGAAGACCCAGTGTGTGTGACTCAGGAAGACCCAGTGTGTGTGACTCAGGAGGCTGAGTGTGTGTGACTCAGGAAGACCCAGTGTGTGACTCAGGGAGCCAGTGTGTGTGACTCAGGAAGACCCAGTGTGTGACTCAGGAGAGACCCAGTGTGTGTGACTCAGGAAGACCCAGTGTGTGTGACTCAGGAAGACCCAGTGTGTGACTCAGAGGCCAGTGTGTGACTCAGGAAGACCCAGTGTGTGACTCAGGAAGACCCAGTGTGTGACTCAGGAGGCCAGTGTGTGTGACTCAGGAAGACCCAGTGTGTGACTCAGGAAGACTCAGTGTGACTCAGAGAGACCCAGTGTGTGTGACTCAGGAAGACCCAGTGTGTGTGACTCAGGAAGACCCAGTGTGTGACTCAGGAAGACCCAGTGTGTGTGACTCAGGAGAGACCCAGTGTGTGACTCAGGAAGACCCAGTGTGTGACTCAGGAGAAGACCAGTGTGTGACTCAGGAAGACCCAGTGTGTGACTCAGGAGACCCAGTGTGTGACTCAGGAAGACCCAGTGTGTGACTCAGGAGCCAGTGTGTGACTCAGGAAGACCCAGTGTGTGACTCAGGAAGACCCAGTGTGTGTGACTCAGGAAGACCCAGTGTGTGACTCCAGGAAGACCCAGTGTGTGAGACTCCAGAAGACCCAGTGTGTGACTCAGGGAAGACTCAGTGTGTGACTCAGGAGAGCCCAGTGTGTGTGACTCAGGAAGACCCAGTGTGTGACTCCAGCTCAGTGTGTGACTCAAGGAAGACCCAGTGTGTGTGACTCAGGAGAAGACCCAGTGTGTGACTCAGGAAGACTCAGTGTGTGACTCAGGAGACCCAGTGTGTGTGACTCAGGAAGCCCAGTGTTGACTCAGGAAGACTCAGTGTGTGACTCAGGAAGACCCAGTGTGTGTGACTCAGGAAGACCCAGTGTGTGACTCAGGAAGACTCCAGTGTGTGACCCAGAAGACCCAGTGTGTGTGACTCAGAAGACCCAGAGACCAGCCTGTGTGTGACTCAGGAAGACCCAGTGTGGACTAGAAGACTCAGTGTGACTCAGAAGACTCAGTGTGTGACTCAGGAAGACCCAGGTGACTCAGGAAGACCCAGTGTGTGTGACCCAGGAAGACCCAGTGTGTGACCAGGGAAGACCCAGTGTGTGACTCAGGAAGACCCAGTGTGTTGACTCAGGAAGACTCAGTGTGTGACTCAGGAAGACCCAGTGTGTGTGACTCAGGAAGACCCAGTGTGTTTGACTCAGGAAGACCCAGGAAGACCCAGTGTGTGACTCAAGAAGACCCAGGTGTGTGTGACTCAGGAAGACCCAGTGTGTGTGACTCAGGAAGACCCAGTGTTTGACTCAGGAAGACCCAGTGTGTTGACTCAGGAAGACCAGTGTGACTCAGGAAGACCCAGTGTGTGTGACTCAGGAAGACCCAGTGTGTTTGACTCAGGAAGACTCAGGTGACCCAGGAAGACCCAGTGTGTGGACTCAGGAAGACCCAGTGTGTTGACTAGGAAGACTCAGTGTGTGACTCAGGAAGACCAGTGTGTGTGACTCAGGAAGACTCAGTGTGTGACTCAGGAAGACTCCAGTGTGTGACCAGGAAGACCCAGTGAGACTCCAGAAGACCCAGTGTGTGTGACTCAGAAGACCAGTGTGTGACTCAGGAAGACCCAGGTGAGACTCAGGAAGACCTGAGTGTGACTCAAGAAGACCCAGTGTGACTCAGGAAGACCCAGTGTGTGACTCAGGAAGACCAGGTGGAGACTCCAGAAGACCCAGTGTGTGACTCAGGAAGACTCAGAGGTGTGACTCAGGAAGACCCAGTGTGTGTGACTCAGGAAGACCCAGTGTGATCAGAAGACTCAGGTGACTCAGGAAGACCCAGTGTGTGACTCAGGAAGACCCAGTGTGTGACTCAAGAAGACTCAGGTGTGACTCAGGAAGACCCAGTGTGTGTGACTCAGGAAGACCAGGGTGACCAGGAAGACCCAGTGTGTGTGACCCAGGAAGACCCAGTGTGGGGATCAGGAAGACCCAGTGTGTGTGACTCCAGGAAGACCCAGTGTGTGTGACTCCAGAAGACCCAGTGTGTGTGACTCAGGAAGACCCAGTGTGTGACTCAGGAAGACCCAGTGTGTGTGACTCAGGAAGACCCAGTGTGTGATCCAGGAAGACCCAGTGTGTGTGACTCCAGAAGACCCAGTGTGTGTGACTCAGGAAGACTCAGTGTGTGACTCAGGAAGACCAGTGTGTGTGATCCAGGAAGACTCAGTGTGTGACTCAGAAGACCTGTGTGTGTGACTCAGGAAGACCCAGTGTGTGATTCAGGAAGACTCAGTGTGTGTGACTCAGGAAGACTCAGTGTGTGTGACTCAGGAAGACCCAGTGTGTGTGACTCAGGAAGACCCAGTGTGTGACTCAGGAAGACCCAGTGTGTGACTCAGGAAGACTCAGTGTGACTCAGGAAGAAGAAAGGAGACTCACGTGCCGTCGCTGGCGTGGGTAGACATGGCCAGGTGCCCCGTGTATGGGTCGAGGGTGAAGAGCGAGTGTTGGTTCCTGTTCCGCCACGCCCACGTCTTCTCGTCGGCGTCCCAGTCGTCAGCGTCCTCCACGTACACGCGTCCTAACGGCACTACCCCGGCCTGGCCCTGGTGCCCGAGGGAGGGAGGGAGGGAGGAGGAGTGAGTGAGCAGGTAGGAGGACTTGTGAACAGACAGGAGATTATATGGCTCTCTCTCTCTCGTGTACATAGAATGGGAATGAATGTGAGTGCACGAGGACAAATGTGAGTGAGAAAAGACAATGTATTTGAAGTGTCGTATAAGATCAATACATTCAATTGAGGGAATTACTTCAGAGAGAGAGAGAGAGGGCAGAAAGCCATCGTATGCGTTCATGATCAAACTATAACACATTAGCTACGTATTAATTAGGTTATGTTAGGTCAGGACAGTCGTCTGTTAATGGTCTTACTGTGATGCGGGTGACGGCTATGGTCTTAGCTGCGGGGGCCATAAAGTTGTCGTTCTTGTCGGCGACGGTGACGGTGACCGTGACAGTGGCGCTGAGGCCCTGAGCGTCGCCCACCACCAGCGGCAGCAGACGTACAGGCGCCTCCTCCCGGTCCAGGGCCCGTAGTGACGTCACCACCGCCACACCGCGCCCCTCATCACCTCCTGCACCAACAACCAGATCTTGAGGTGACATATCCAGAGGTTTAACAGGAAATACAGGCAAATAAGTGATGCTGCCTTCACTTAGGTACCAAGAAAATGTATCCACTATTTATTAAACCAAGTCGGTGTTTCGGCTATTACTTGAATGACTTAAGTGTGTAATAGTTTTTTCTTTTATCAGAACAGTAGCAGTGTCTATGAATTTTTGGATGTATAACGGGACTAAATTATGAGCTGAAATAGGGTAATATACATTTATATTATAGTGTTGAGTTTCTTGACGCTCTTATCCCGGCCCCTGCTCTCTACACGACCGTCATTCTCAAAATTTCCCTACCATAATTATTTCTGCTACCTGGGGATGTAGAAAATCAACTGTTATGTTGGATTCAGAGTAACTTCGAATATTCTATGACCGTCGTCTTTGTATAGCACCATAAGTTAACCAATTAGATGTCTTATACAGTCTCCGATTAAAAATAAATTAACACGACAGGTATCTCATAGGCTGTGGCCTGGGAGAAGTGTCGTCCCAGGTTGAGATGTATCATCTGCCCTGATAACAAGGTGAAAAATACACGTCGTGGAGGTACTCACTGGCATCGAAGTCCACAGCGAAGTCCTGCTTGATTTTGGGTGTGGCGGAGTGAGCCAGGGTGATGGTGAAGGGCGGGCCGTGACCCAGCGTCCAGTCGTCAGCGTCGTCTAGGGTGATGTCGGCTACGTGGCGCGGCCCGCTGTTCTCTGGCACGTGCATCACGGCGGGTCCTGCCACGTGCGGTGCGTTGTCGTTTACATCCGTCACTGTGAGCAGGAGGGTAGCAGTTGCTGTGCGGGCCGGGTCCCCGCCATCTACCGTTAGTACCCGCACCGTGTGACTCGCCGCAGCTTCGCGGTCCAGCACTCGCCGCAGCCGCACGCGACCTTCAGAATCCACGGCAAATCTTCTGCCAGGGTCACTGCTGGGGTCGATGACGTAATGGATCTCTCCGTCGCCGCCCTGCACGGGAAGGGGAGAGGAGGTGTGAGGCACGATGGCTGCACAACACAACACAACACTATCACTGAATAACAAAAATAGAAATCCGATCGACAAGTCCAGACAAGAATCCAATAACGCAAAACCATAAACAATCTCCTTTAAAGCGCGGAATGTAACTGTGGCGGGAAAAAACAGTTACTGAAACTGGCGTATTCTTCCGACACGAACTGGCCATAACTTAACATTACCACACACCCAGCTATCTCGAGCAACATCCTTATTGTTAAACACTTCCATGTTAAAACTTAAATCAAACCATCAAATCTGTGAGAAACTATCGAACGGAATTCAAATGTGTGACGGACGGAGGGATTCGTTTTATTCCACAACGTGAATTTCATTACGATTTTTTCTTCTTATGTTATTTACGGTGTTATAAACATAAATGATCTCTAATTCCGTGGGAAATACATATTTAAGGAGGTACGACCCCTTAACACTAAACGACAATGAATTTTTCGAAAGTGGGCAGGGCTTTGGAGGTGAGGGAAATGAGAGTTTAAACACTTAACAAAAAATAAAACCTGAACACCCTTTCCTAACCTGTATTATGACATATTTTGCCCAAAATCTTACCTGACTGTATTTATGTTGTGGACGCGCAAAAAGTTCATGGGTGAACCTTGTTTCGTACACAACCAAACATATTTATTTGTGGTGGACGTGAAGATTTAACACTATTGACGGATTATAAGTTCGCTGAACTTATTTTCGCGGGATTTTATATTCAAATCTTTTTCACACGAGCTTCACATGATCTGGTATGACCAATCAGAGGACAGGTTAAATATCTTGAAATTTATACAATCACAAAAGAAAATTCTAATCGTATTCAGTCGCATTATGGATCCTTTGGGAACTAAACACCGAAAAAAAAACCCGCAAAAACAAGACGGTATTTCCTTTTTTCGCCATCTTACGGTATTTTTTTTAATAAGATTATGACTTTCCTAGGTTAGGTAGGTCAGGTTCTCAAAGATTTATTTAGTTTTTTTTTTTTTAAGTTTTAACCCCACATTTCCCTCATCTTCAAAGCCCTATTCTCCTTGGAAGACTTCATTGCTGTTGCAAGTGTTAAGGGGATCATAATCTCAATAAATAGGCATTTTTCACGGATATAAAGGCAATTTTCGTTAATTTCACCTTTAAAAACACCAGAAATCGCTCTTTTAATAATAAAATTATCTTTGGCATAAAACGAATGTTTCCCACGGTCGAGCGGAGGGAGGGACGGAGAGACGGTAAAGGGGAGTTTTTGTAGTTTACCAAATTTATTGACCAAGCTTGGAGTACAGTTTGTCTATTCTGAGTAATTCAGTCAGGTCTCGACACTGAGGGTGATATCACTTCTCACTGCCACGCAGGACAGAGGTTCACACACAAAGGAATAGATCATATTCATTGGCAGTATATATAGGTCAGAGTCATTTGGGTGATGTCACTGTTCACTGCCATGCAGGTCATTGGTTCATATACATTGGACGTCATATTCTAATTGAAGACTAATCAGTGTGGGCTAGCAAATTTTGGGTAAACAGCAAGAATGTCCTCAAGCACCCCTGATTCAAAGGTAAAGGGGAGGTGTTTCATGTTCACTCAGGAGCCGGGGAACGAGTTTCATCACACACACACTGCTTCATCTGGCGGGATGTTGAGAAGGAAAAGATGGAGATTATGACCGCTTTATGGTCTCAGTGGTGTGATTTTGTCCAGAGATCGTCTGTTATAGTGACCTCACCAGATGGGATTTTGTCTCATGATATTTTGGTGTTTTTTTTTTTGCCCTGTGAAATTTTGTCCGGTGCCGTTTTATCACGTGAAGTTTTGTCCAGTGGGATTTTGTCTTATGGGATTTTTTTTCTCGTGGGTCTCATTTTTTGTATCGGGAAGAGAGAAAACAGAATAATGATGTGAAGATTGAAAGAGATTATTAATTTTAAAGCTGTGGTCTCTGTCTTTTTACGTTAACCTTGGCATCATCGTCCAGTAAACTACACTAAAGTCAGTTCGCCTCTCCCCTTGAACCCCGAGATTCAGACTCGTGAACCCGAAGCATTAGACTGATACATTATTCTGTCCATAAATGTTTCGGATTTATGAGTTTGAATCTCGGGATTCGTGGTTCAAGGGGAGAGGCGAACGGACTTTAGTAGTTGACAGTACGTGTATGTGAAAAACCCAGGTCTCTAGGCCTACAATTTTTTTTTAAATTATTTATTGGGCACTCCCCTACAGCCTTGTGCAAGGTGAAGCGCAGAATCGTTTACAGTGCCCAACAGGGAAGCATGCTAAGTTCATGCTTGCCTTTATGTCTAATGAGTTAAGGGCGTAGAAGCCTGAAGAGTCAAGGGCATAGAAGCCTGAAGAGTCAATGGTTCATGTCATCAAGTTATTGGAAGCTCCAACAACTTGTCCCTGAATACGAATTCGTAACTTTCGATTTACATCAGGTACCTACTTCACTGCTAGGTGAACAGGGACTAATGGGGGCTAGGAAGTATGTCCAAACAACTTCCACCGGCCCGGGAATCAAACCCGCGACATCACGCTTGCGAAGGCAAAAGCGGTACCACTCTACCACCAGCACCCCCTGCTTTACATATCCCCTTACCTGGAGACGTGTGAACTACGACTAACGTAAGCTACGACATTAAGGCGGATTTTCGAAGATTCGAGTAAAACCTTTTACACATAACTGGAGACGTGAGCCCAAATCTAACAAGTTCACTGAAACTACGACTAAAAGTTGTATTCTCGACAGTTTATATGTAAATTTTCCCGCTAACTGGAGATGTGAGGATTTTCTGACAGATACTTAAACTACTATACAAACTTAGAGGATAAATTGATGTCTAAACAACACTGATGTATCTACTAGGCGCCTTCTTACAACTGTAGTTAGGGGAAGAAATATAACGAAGGAATCTTTGAGGATCGTGACCGAGGCCTCGGTGGTGTGGACCCTGGCCAGGAGCCAACACTGTGGGGGAACAATTACGTGAAGGGTCCGATAGTTCTCTAACTCCTCACCCCACTTGGTCTGAGAGCAGTTAACAACAGAGCACCAATACCTACTACGACCCTCTGCTGTCTGTACCTCTACTGTGTTTTGACCTTTATATACTGTATATTTAAAGCTTACAATAATAACTTTGTGTCATATATAATAACAATAATCTGTACATGACATATACACCGTAAACTTAAGACAGGTTTAACACATTTATTGCATACACTTGTACCTTTCAGCACCACCATCATGACACACGGGTTACAGGACCAGTCAGGTAAACACGGCAGGACAACACCGCGTTAGGTTTCTCTCGTCGTCTTATTTTCCCTCATTATTTGATTGTTACTTCCTCCTATGCCTCCTATTCTCTTTAATTAAAAATATAAATAACATATCACTGTACCCTGAAATAACTTAAAAAATATCCGATATAACAAGTCCCGCCATATTTAACTTACTGGCTCTAGTGTATAACCTGTTTCAGTATATGTATCATGACAATGTATGTAGTAATTGTGCTAAAATTTTAACTCCTTATAAACGACTTACAACCTCTGAGTGGAGTGAGGAACAAGCAGGTTAAGTTAGTGTCCTATTGGAGTAGGAAGGCAGTTTCTCGCCGTTCTGGTTCTGTTGTATTTATCTGTTACACCAACAGCGAGGAAGTTGGTGTGATTATGTGAGTTTGGTAGTCGCAGGTAAGAGGGTTTACTGCTTGTCTCCCTCCTAGCCGTGTGTGTGTTTGTGTCTGTATGTGTGTGTGTCTATGTGTATGTTTGTGTCTGTGTGTGTATGTTTGTTTGTGTCTGTGTTTGTGTGTGTGTGTTTGTGTCTATATGTGTGTGTGTATGTCTATGTGTATGTATGTGTGTGTCTATGTGTATGTTTGTGTCTGTGTATGTATGTTTGTTTGTGTGTGTGTGTGTGTGTGTGTGACTCCACAAATATATTCAATAACCCGTTTGTCACTTGGTACACGGATGTAGCAGCATACATACAGCTCTGGGCCCACCTGCCACTAGAATGATGACCAGTGTCCTGAATACTTAATTGCCAGTTATTGAGACACGATACAACCAGTTATTGTTACGATATATTGATGAACAGTGACGGAGACTGACCAATCACGGTGCAGCTTACCTCACACGTATTTATCTCTGGTTTAAATATAAGAAACATAATTAATTTAGATAACTGATACAAGTTGGATATTGGTAAAAGGTTCACTGTGAAGAGAGTCTTTTAGAGGACAACTTTGGCCTAGTCGTAACATCATATTGACTCCTGACATATTGTGGTGTTTGTGACTGTTTACCGAGTCTGTCTAAAGGATAAAGAAACAAAGGGTAATTTAATCAGTCTATTTTAATTAACCTATAACCTGTAGAAGTTAACGACTATAATTTTCTTAAGCTTGGGTGATGAGTGTGGGGGACTAACAAGATAAGTTTACCTTAGAGGAAAACGTCTATCAGTAAGTCAGGAAGGAAAGACGAGCGTCTAGTTAACTACACAAACAAGAAAAATAAACAACTGACAAGCAAAAATAATTTAATTTCGTAACTTTCACATCACTCGTTACACTGTATCATCGTTCTCTGGCCGCCGAATGATCTGTGAAGAAGCTACGAATTATTAAAGAAATCGTTAAGGTTAATGAAACTATCGAAGCTTCCGAGTGTTGTTATAATATTCTCTTAAGGGGAAAAAAACGATAACTTATGAACCTTTGAGAATTCAGGTACAGATGTCACCAGTAAGAGCAGATGTTGACAACTCTATCTCTTGCCATTAATTCTTAAACAACAGTAAAGGTAAAACTACATGTGTTAATATTAAAAGAAACATTTTAATATATAAAGTCTGTTTAGATGACATTTACATTAGAAAGTTACATTAATTTATATATTTTATACAATTTGGAGGTGATGATGAAACAGTCAACGGTAACAGGAAACAAATCTTAGTAAAAATTTAAGTAGCCGAATCAACAATGTAGATGAGAGGAATACATGTGTGTGTGTGTGTGTGTGTGTGTGTGTGTGTGCGTGTGTGTGTGTGTGTGTGTGTGTGTGGTGTGTGTGTGTGTGTGTGTGCGTGTGTGTGTGTGTGTGTGTGTGTGTGTGTGTGTGTGTGTGTGTGTGTGTGTGTGTGTGCGTGCGTGTGTGTGTGTGTGTGCGTGCGTGCGTGCGTGCGTGTGCTGGAGGGTTAGTACCTACCTCGTCTTGGTCGGTGGCGGTGAAGGTAGCGAGGGAGTGACCTAGAGGAGTGTTCTCGGCCAGGGTGAGGTTGACTAGGGTGGTGGTGAGGTGAGGGTCGTTGTCGTTGTCGTCTTCCAGTATCACCCTCACCCAGGTGTCGTCCAGGTGTTTTTCGTCCTCCCACCGCCGCTTTTCGTCCTCCTGTCCCAGTGTTTATATGGGTGACGTATGAGGTAAACATTCACACAGATGACGTCATAAGAGGGGTCACACATGGATGACGTCATAAGAGGGGTCACACATGGATGACGTCATAAGAGGGGTCACACATGGATGACGTCACGAAGGAGTTAAAGACCCTGAGTTTGTTCAATATTAATAAGAAAAACCACCATGTAAAGCGAATCAAAATTAAATGTCACCTTTTCTATGAACTTGACCAGCGGTTGTTCAAGGTATCCATAATTATCTTCAAAACAAACAAACCTTACACAAGCTAATAAGATAAAGGGTCTGCCATCATTATATCTTGAATTATGTCTTTAAATTTACGAATAACATCACATATATAGAATTTTGTATCAATTTGTGTTTGTCATTAAACCCATTAAAAGTATACTTGACAGTGAACCATTAGATCATGTGTGTGTGTGTGTGTGTGTGTGTGTGTGTGTGTGTGTGTGTGTGAGACCTACCTTGTCAGACACTTGCACTTTGAACTTGAATCCTGGACGCTGGGCATGGTCTTCATAGTCTAAGGTGCGAATGGCGTGAAGGGCCCCACTGTAGTTCCTGGCCGCCACCACCGCGAACCTCTCCCATCCGTATCCGCTACCCGCCACCACCTGCAATCATTACTGTGGATTACCATCTACACTACCCCTGCCGCGGTTACCACCACCATTAATAGTATAAAACTTATACTACCATCATCGCCATGGGTCTTACATTACTATACTCACTTTACACTAGCTTGACCCAGAAGTCACGCCCCTATAGGCTCGCACTAGCTACACTTCGCCTTCGCATTAATAAAACGGTAAGGCGGCCTGATGTCCGCTAAGCAGCTCTTCGTTTCAGTGCAACAACCGAGTAGTTCAGTACGAGCGTACTCTCACGTCCACAAAAAAACGTAAAATTACACCATATAAAAGAAAGTTCCTTCTGTTTAATATGCCGGGGGTCTGCTAGGAAGTTAGGTACTGTACAGTATGTTTCTTTGGTTAGGTTGGTGCCGTCTACTAACAACCCTTGGGCCGTTTGTATTTCTTATCAATTAAAGTTAGGTTAGGTTAAATTTAGAACTAACCCCATTTTAACACATTTGCTCGAACTACGACAGTATCCATTGCAAAACAGTGAAATTGATTTTCCCTGAAAATTTGGCAACGGGTGTGTCGCTAATACTGAAGAGCGAAAAGACAGGGGTACCTAGTGACAGCGCTAGGATCCCGCTTCCTCTATCAAGGAATAAACAATTGAAATTGAAGAGTGAAAACACGATAATGCCGGTCATACTGAAAAGCGAAAAACAAACTAAATGAAATACACCATTACGAAAATTTGAAATTAACATCAGTATTTCAGGTTTTGTGATTAAATTTTTTATGGTATATATGCTTCAATTAAAGCTTCACATAATCATTGTATCGTTGTGCAAATAAAGAGAAAAATATAAAAGTCAACATCAGTACCTGATCCAGGTCATGAGTTGAATATTTTTATCTTTGTATTATCACGATGAAAACATATTTACAATAATGAATATAAAAGTGAAAATTTGTCCTCGTTATATGCATTATTAAGGTTAGTGACAGCTGTGTGTGTGTGTGTTCGCTTGCGTGTGTACATAAAACCCAAACAAGAGATACTACGAAACTATGAATCTTCACAACTCGTAACCCCCGTCCACTCCCCACCAAAAAATCCCTATAATGAAAATCGTAAGAAGAAAACGAAGAGGAAGAAGAGGACTTACCCTAAAAGTGAAGTGGTTGGTTGTGTCGGGGTCGTGGAGCGTGAGGAAGGCCAGAGAGGTGTTAGGAGGAGCCGTCTCTCTCACCGTCACCTGCCACTCCCTCCTCGTGAACTTGGGCGACGCGTCGTTCTCGTCCCCCAGCGACACGACCACCGTTCCTGTCCCTGTGTTTGTCGTGATGCAACCGAATGATGATTAGTTAAATAGGTGGATGGGAAGGTCTTCTACAGAGCCCTATTTAGTCCTAGTTCTAATAGCCGAATCGTAATAGTAAGGTGTAGGTTAGGTTAAGTTGGGGGGGAAATAGGACTCGCCTGACATACCACGGACACCAACAATAAGAACAACACCTCCCTCAAACGTCAAGTGGGTGTGAGGTCTACGTGCTCTCTCTCTCTGTGTGGCCCTGTTCGTTCTTACCCTCCTTATGCTCTCATTCTATCTTCTCTTCCCTCTAGCTCTCTCTCTCTCTGGCTCCCTTCCATTACTCCATCTGGCCATCTTTCCTCTCCGTCTCCCTGCCCCCCTCTCTCTTCCATCGTTATCCCTGACCCTCTCTCCCTTTCCTTCCTTCTCTCTCTGGTATTAAAGTAGAGTGTCCAGCGACGTAATGCCCATTGTGTATTCTCTAATAATTGTAGAATAATTATATATGTATTACGTGTTAAAACCATCAAACAGATCTCAGTCATACGTAAACAATGTTGGTTTGTTTGTAAACACTGGAGTATTGTTTCTAAAGGTGAGGCCAGTGTTCCACTTATTATACGACTTGACACTTTAGCAGTAAAGAGAATTGCAAGCAAGACAATTTAAGCTTGATATAATCCCAAAACATTTCCCTCTGGACAAAAACCCTATCACAATATACAATGAAATCAGATAATTTTTTGTTATGATGATGTTTTGTCCAGTATATAATCTCGTGGGGTTCTGTCCAGCAGAACACACATGTCGTGTGGGAATTTGTCCAATAGGAGGATAACTTGTGTGATTTTGTCCAAATGTGAAATCGACTAGTGGGGATTCTATGTATAGTGGGATTTTGTCAACTGGAGCACCAACCAATGGGGTTTTGCCTAACACTAAACTTCTCTACGTCGATATTTTACCCACTGGAAGTTTCTCCTATGCACAACGTACTCACCTTTAAGGCCACCGCCGTCTGACGCCACCACCTGGATGACGAAGGAAGGTGTCTGCTCCCGGTCTAGGCAACACAACGCCGTCCTGATCCTGTAGAAGGGAAGACACGTCAGTTATTACGCACACAGGTCACTTTCATTATTTCCTCTGTTATGCCAATTTCCCTACTTTAGATCCCTATTTACGCCATTTCCCTACTTTAGATCCCTATTTTTGCCAATTTCCCTACTTTAGATCCCTATTTATGCCATTTCCCTACTTTAGATCCCTATTTTTGCCAATTTCCCTACTTTAGATCCCTATTTTTGCCAATTTCCCTACTTTCGATCCCCATTTTTGCCGATTTCCCTACTTTAGATCCCTATTTATGCCATTTCCCTACTTTAGATCCCTATTTATGCCATTTCCCTACTTTAGATCCCAATTTATGCCAATTTCCCTACTTTAGATCCCTATTTTTGCCAATTTCCCTACTTTAGATCCCTATTTATGCCAATTTCCCTACTTTAGATCCCTATTTATGCCAATTTCCCTACTTTAGATCCCTATTTTTGCCAATTTCCCTACTTTAGATCCCTATTTATGCCAATTTCCCAACCCAAGATACTAAATCTGATAATTTTCCCCAGATTAGGGTAAATTTTTCCTTATAATCTGCATCCCTAATTAGGTCCTTCTCATCCAAGTATTATTAATAAGACTTTGAGACACAGGTGTGGTACGAACTTTTTTTTTTGTGGGTGGAAAAATCAAATCTCAGGACCATTCATTACGAAGGATCCATATTTTTCAGCAGGTCCCTAATTGAGAGAGAGAGAGAGAGAGTTCCACAAGCTTTCTTTTTTAATTAAAGAGTAAGTTTTAAGGTGGGCACAGCTGTACTTCCCACCCACCAAAAAATAATTAATTAATTCATCTTCTTTCACGTTTTGTCTCTCTATCAGTCTGTCTCATTCTTTTTCTCACTCACTGTCTCTTTATCAGTCTGTCTCATTCTATTTCTTTGTCTGTCTATCAGCCTGTTCTTTATTTTCTCTCTCTCTCTCTCTCTCTCTCTCTCTCTCTCTCTCTCTCTCTCTCTCTCAATCCTTGTCCATTTACCTCGCCTCCTCTTTCTCTCTCACTTACCTGTCCTAATCAATTTCTCTCACCCTCTCCTCCCTTCTCACTCTCACCTGCCTTCTCCTTCCCTCTCACTCATCCGTCCTCTATTCCCCTCTCCATTTCTCTCCCCTCTCCCGCCCTCTCACTCACCTGCCTTTTCCTCTCCTATCACCCTCTCTCCCCTCCTCATCCTCTCCCCCACCCTCTCCCCTCACCCCTCCCCCTTCAACCTCTCCCCCTCCCTCCCCCTCCCTCCCCTCGCCCTCCCCCTCGCCCTCCCCCCTCCGCCCTCCCCCCCTCGCCCTCCCCCCTCGCCCTCCCCCCCTCCCCTCCCCCCCTCGCCCTCCCCCTCGCCCTCCCCCCTCGCCCTCCCCCTCGCCCCTGCCCGTCATGGCGTCTATAGAGAAGATGGGTCTCCCGGACTGTTCGTCGATCACGTTCTTGTCGACGGAGTAGGTGATGGCGGCGTTGGTGCTCTCCTGGGGGTCGTCATGGTCTGTTGCCTCCACCCGCGTCACCTCCGTACCTGTGTTGGTCACCAGAGGTCGTATATGGCACTCGTGACACCTGTGGCTCTATTGACACTTGTCATACCTGTGGCATTTGTGACATGTGTGGTACCCATGATACATGTGGCACTTTTGACACATATGGCACCTGTGACACAACACAACTGACATTCATGACACCTGTGACACTTGACACTTAAGACACTTGTTAGGATTGGTTAGGTTAGGTTTTATTAGGTAGCATGACATATAAAGAGAGAGAGAGAGAGAGAGAGAGACTCACCGGCGGCGGCGTTCTCCAGTACAGTGGCATCAATAACATCGTGAGGGAAGAAGGGGGCGTTATCGTTGATGTCTTTGACGTTGACGTGGACCTGAGCGTGGGCGTTGTGTACACCGTCAGTCGCCGTCACCCACAGCTTCCAGCGAGCCCTTCCAGATGGCGCGTCACGGTCCAGAGGCTAGTGAAGACGTCAAAACAAAATCACTATATATTAATTTTATCTTCTTGGAGTCCATAATCTGGTTCAAAATATCGCGTGACTCATGGGAATCAGCATTCAATATTTACCTCCCACAACTACTCGTCTAGTTTAGTTTTAGTCACCGTATCTATTCACCTTTCTAGTTTTGTTTATAAATATTTTAATTCGATTCTAAAAAAGGTAAATAACCCCACGATCTATTTTCTTTTGTTTATAAGATTTACGATGGTTTGTAACATGAGTTCGTCTGATCTGCGATGTTTACGTCTCCTGATTTGAGGCCTCGCCCCCTGCATGTCACCTTAAACACACACACACACACACACACACATACACACTACTACATTGCTGTCACTCAGAATCGAGTATGACGATCATCCAGCTATGATACAATGATATGAGTTATTAAGGATGTCACCTAGGTTGATGAGTTCTGAGGTGACTAAAGAGGCCGATACGGGACCAGCAGAGTCGATCACAGATGTTGCAAATGTGGGGGTCTACATCTAGTGCGGGAAGGGCGGCGGCAGCGTCTTTCTGGCGTTGGCACTTGTCTGCCTCGTTAAGCAGTCGGGCTAACTCGAAAGTATTGACACCTTCTTGTGTGGTGATACTCCAAGCGTTACAATGTGGAGTAATCGTCTCCCAGGTGAGGGGGTTGATTTGGCACCTTTTCAGGTTTGTCTAAGACTATCCTTATACCTTTTCAGTTGCCCGCTAGCGTTAGGTTTACTGTTCTTTAGGTGACTGTATAGTAGCTGCTTTGGCAGTCTACTGTCGTCCATGCGGGTAACATGGGCAGTCCAGCGTAGTTGTTCATGGATAATGGTAGCCTCGATTCTACAGTTGGTGTCAGCACGAATACTGGCAATTGTTCTCTTGTCTTCCAAGCGAATTCGGAGGATGGAACGTAGACTACGTTGGTGAAAGTTTTCAAGTGCCTTGAGGTGCTTACTGTATGTGATCAAATGTCTCGCTGCCATATAGCAGGGTGGGGAGGACCACTGCTCGGTATACGTGTGACTTTATAAATAATTTTAGCTCCCTGCAGCTGAAGACACGGTTTCGGAGTCTGCCAAAGGCTTGAGATGCACATCTGATCCGTTGCTGAATCTCTTCATCGATGTCCACGGTGGTGGACAGGTGGGAGCCGAGATGCCGAAAGTGGGTAACATTAGAGAGGGTAGTGCCGTTAAGCTGGGTGGACGATGGAGGTGTGGCTGAACCAGGGGCAGGCTGCAAGAGAATCTGAGTCTTACGTACATTCACCTCAAGGCCAAAGTGTGCATACGCATCTGCATAGGTGTTCAGGATCTCGATATCCACCCCACCGACTAATTGACACTGGCACGAGTAAGGAAGGCAGCCAAGAAAATGTGAAAGAGTAGTGGTGCCGGTACACACCCTTGTTTAACCTCTGTTTGGATGAGGAAGAACTCAGACTGGATGTCATTGTGCAGGACACTGCCATTCATGCCATCGTGGAGTTGCCTCACAATGGCGATGAATTTTGGGGGGCAGTCAAAACGGCTGAGGGTCCGCCAGAGGGCTTCCCTGTTGACCGAGTCGAAGGCCTTGGTTAGGTCGACGAAAGCCATGTACAGGTCACGACGCTGTTCTTTACACCTTTCCTGTATTTGACGGGCAGCAAAGATCATGTCAGTGGTGCCACGTAATGGTCTAAAGCCACATTGAGATTCTGAGAGGAAGTTTTCCGCCTCAGGAAGAAGTCTGTTTAGGAGGACTCGGGCGATAATCTTGCCAGCTACAGACAGCAGCGAGGTCTCGCGGTAGTTGCCACAGTCTGACTGGTCTCCCTTGTTCATATAATATTGACAATGGAGGCGTCTTTAAGAGCTTGGGGGATTCCTCCTTTTCTCATATATTCTCCAGGAGTGAGTGAAGACGGCTGGTAAGCAGAGTTCCTCCTGCTTTATACACCTCGGCTGGGATTCCATCGGGCCCTGAGGCTTTGGTATTATTTATCTGTTTGATGGCAGTAGCTACCTCATCCAGGGATGGAGGATAGCTGAGGTGGGTCAACACTGGGTGCTGGGGGACTTGCTGGGTAGCCAGGACATCCACATCGGTGTTTCAGTTGAGCAGTGAATGGTAGTGCTTTTTCTAGCGCTGAAGGAGGCCTTCATCGTCTTTAATTACGGAGTTACCGTCGGATGAGCGGAGGAGGGCTGCAGGAGTGATTGGCCCATAAAATGTTTTAGTGGAATTGAAAAATTCGCGCACCTTGTGCTGATCTGCATTTTTTTTTCAAATGCTTTATTTTTAAACCAGTCGTTCCTTAGATTGCCGCTGAGCCGTCGGGTTGTTTATCAGCCGGTGTTCGAACTGCTCTCTGAAAGCATTTGCTACCGCTGGATCCTCCAGACGCTTAGTGTTAAAACCTTTTCTGAAGGCTTGCTGCCTTCACCGTTTTGGGGCGACGTGAAGTGGGAGTTTGGCTCTGACGACCCGATGATCAGTGTCGCAGTGGTCCGAGCCACGCATGGCGCGCTCTCTCAATATATTACTTCATCTTTCCCTCTAGCCATGTCCGTTGTCTCCCTCCTCACACACCCTCTTCATTCACTCTATACATCCTCCTCTTCATTACCTCTATACATCCTCCTCCTCTTCATTACCTCTATACATCATCCTCCTCTTCATTCCCTCACACACCCTCATCATCACTTCACACACCCTCATCATCACCTCACACACCCCCATCATCACCTCACACACCCCCATCATCACTCCCCCATCTCACACACCCTCATCATCACCTCACACACCCTCTTCATTATGTTGTTCTCTGGTATTCCTTTTAGCTCTTCTTTACATCACCTCAGAGTATCCCTTTTCATTCGTTCCATTACTTCATTATTCTCTTCTCTTTGTCATTCATTTTTATCTCTCTCTCTCTCTCTCTCTCTCTCTCTCTCTCTCTCTCTCTCTCTCTCTCTCTCTCTCTCTCTCTCTCTCTCTCTCTCTCTCTCTCTCTCTCTCTCTCTCCCCTTCACTAGTATTTACCTTTTAACATTCTTTCATCACCCAAGCCTTTTCAGGTCCCTCACCGACCTCTGTAAGCCACTGTTCACTCTCCGCTGGCAGCATCATCTACATACAGACATGTTACCACCGCGGCCCACATCCCACAAAAACAATTTTCAGCTTCGCTTTCGCCTCCGTCACCCTATAGTCTTCGGGACCACCTCACTACGCTGGTCGTGTAAATGTTGATTCGCCATGGAAACATCTCTTTACACAACCCTGGCACCACTCTCTCTCTCGATCTATCTCTTCCCCCACACACATTCCTACTCTATCCCACCACCTTACCCTGGCTCACCCCTCCTCATCCACCCCACCCACCCATCCCTCCATCCACCCACCCACCCCACCACCCACCCACCCACCCACCCACCCAAACTCTCACTCTACCCCTCCACCCTAACCTCTCACTTGCAATGAAAACAAAAACAAAACAACGACTGAATTTCCACCTACAATCATAACAGGATACCGTCTTCCATTAGTGTAATTGTGTGGAATAATACTACTTCTAGCAGACTCTTTCCCGTGTATTTGTTTTGATAAATTTGTCTGTCATAAATTAAACTTCTCGTCGTATTTTTCTTCTCAGCTGTTCATCTTAGGGTTCGTACTATAGTTATGGGCATTAATTAATAAAAAAAATGAACATTAACACACACACGCGCACACACACACACACACACACACACACACACACACACACACACACACTGTTCATACACGCTAACACATTCATACTCTATCAACATTAATATAAACATTATATATATACATTACAATAAACACAGGAAGACGTACCCGTAGGAGGTGGATGTGGCCGGTGGAGGGGCTGATGGAGAAGGTGGTGTTGGTGTCTGGGTCGTCGTCCCCAACCAGTGTGTACACCAGTCGTCCCTCGTCGCTCTCGTCCGCGTCCTCAGCCACCACCTGCACCATAACAATAACATGTGCGTCACCTTACACCACCTGGGGCACCTTAACTAATTGCATCACCTAACTGTTCTTAAAAAAATCTATTGGCGCCAAAGAGAAAAGCCCAACATGTCACAGGCAAGGTCTCTCTCTCCTCCTCCTCTCTCTCTCTCTCTCTCTCTCTCTCTCTCTCTCTCTCTCTCTCTCTCTCTCTCTCTCTCTCTCTCTCTCTCTCTCTCTCTCTCTCTCTCTCTCTCTCTCCATTAATCACGTGCTAAACTATGCCCAGCTTAACTCTAAGCCTCTAACTCTGCTTCACACTACTGCAATATATTTAACTGCGAGGAAATACTGCGGCAGTGCATCTGTTAGACACCCGCAGGCAGCAGCCACCCCACCCACTCTAATAGATACTGCAGGCATGTTGAGCTGACTCTGTTGTTGATCGTTTAGAGTGTGAGGGAGTTAGACAAATCAAATTAATTCTTTACCCTTCGTTCCACAGCGTCATATTCCAAAGAGTTTTAGAAATCTTGTAGGAGGCGTTACCTTCGTCAGTTCATATCCTACAACAGAGTATTTTAATACTTGGAGTAAAATTATCGAATCACAAGCTTGTGTCAGGGATCAACTTGTGAGAGCTGGCCAGACACGTACTAGTACCAACGACCAATGTGCTGTGATTATCAAGCTATCTACAGGGGTGGTATATGCTCAGCGCTGGTGATAAAGTACAGTGGTAGTCGTGGATCTGGATATAAAGGGATAACTATGCTTGTGTTTAGAGTCGACCAAGTACCAGGCCAGGAATTCTCAAAATGTTTAAGAGAAGACTAAATGTTTCCTGGAATAACACAAGAACACCTTTTGGAATTATGTAGCGGCCCGCGCCCCTTATATAACACTATACTGATCCTCAACACCAGATGTACACTACCTTACAGATCATTTTTGTTGATATGTGAAAAAATATGAATCATTTTTGTTGACATTCACACTTTTTTATGCACCTTGACCTTCCTCTCAGTCCTCCAATTTCCTAACCTAACCACACCTAACCTAACCTGACCACACCAAACCTAACCTAACCTGACCTGACCTCTCCGTGACCCACCTGGAGGATGGCCTTAGGCAGGTGTCGGTCGTCCTCCTCGGTGATCTGGGTCTCGAACATGGGCCTGGAGAAGGTGGGCGGCATGTCATTGATGTCCTCTACCCGAATCAAGACCCGCCCGTACGCCCGTTCTTCCCCGGCCTCCCCCACCACCAACACCTCGTACTGTCATAGAGAAAAGGAGTGAGGGAGACGGGAGGGAAGATGAGGGGATTACAGGATTACGACACTTGGTACGACAAAGGCAACATGCAGGTCTTCTCGAGTTAACCATTAAATTCTGGTATAAAAAAAAAAATATAAAAATACGTCACTATCATTACTCATTCAAGAATATATGTAACTAATATACTCAAAACAGGTAAAGGAATCTTATATTTACTCTAGAATATGTAAATGTATCACCGTGTAATTTAGAGTCAACTTATATATTATTTTCTAGTACAAATACATGTCATTAGCATAACTCTTTTACTCTAGAAACATAATTTGTCTCATATTTACTCTCCAGACCTTGTATATAGTATGTCCACGTGTCATCAAGTGTGGAATATAAGGAGAAGAAAAAACAGATTAAAAGCATAACAAAATAAGTCTCGTATTCCTAGCTACTGCCAGCACTGACTGTCGTTCTACTCACGCGCCACCATTGTCTCGTAAGTAATACATAATTATACATGAATTTTAATATATTCATAATTAAGGTCTGGTTAGTATACATTGATGTTTGTAATGAGGGGGTGGGGTGACCTGACTTATTGTATGGGAGAGGGTGAGTGATCTGACTTATTGTATGGGAGGGGGTGAGTGACCTGACTTATTGTATGGGAGAGGGTGAGTGACCTGACTTATTGTATGGGATAGGGTGAGTGACCTGACTTATTGTATGGGATAGGGTGAGTGACCTGACTTATTGTATGGGAGAGGGTGAGTGACCTGACTTATTGTATGGGAGAGGGTGAGTGACCTGATTTATTGTATGGGAGAGGGTGAGTGACCTGACTTATTGTATGGGAGAGGGTGAGTGACCTGACTTATTGTATGTGAGAGGGTGAGTGACCTGACTTATTGTATGGGAGAGGGTGAGTGACCTGACTTAGTGGTGGGAGAGGTGAGTGACCTGACTGACAAGGGAGAGGGGTGAGTGACCTGGACTTATTGTAAGGAGAGGGTGAGTGACCTGACTTATTGTATGAGAGGTGAGTGACCTTGACTTATTGTATGAGAGGTGAGTTACCTGACTTATTGTAGGGAGAGGGTGAGGACCTTGAATTATTGTGGCGGGAGAGGAAAGGACCTGACTTATTGTATGGGAGAGGGTGAGTGACCTGACTTATTGTATGGGAGAGGGTGAGTGACCTGACTTATTGTATGGGAGGGGGTGAGTGACCTGACTTATTGTATGGGATAGGGTGAGTGACCTGACTTATTGTATGGGAGAGGGTGAGTGACCTGACTTATTGTATGGGAGAGGGTGAGTGACCTGACTTATTATAGTAGTGTTAGGTAGTGACTGACCTGACTCCTGGTCTCATAATCGAGGGGGGCGGTAAGGGTGAGGTGGCCAGTGCGGGCGTCGACACGGAAGAGACCGCCCACGCCCCCGCCCGCAAGGCTGTACATCACGCCCGTCGCTGACAACATTGACGTTAACTTATCAGTAACATTAAAAGGCTAAAGTGTTCATTAATAACATCATTTGTATTACGTCAGCAACATCAACTCATCAACATCAATTCACATAAAATACCATCAACATCATAAATAACATCAAATCCTGAGTGACATCATCATCATCACTACTCACTGGAGGTGTTGGAGGCGGCGTGAAGAGTGAGGAGGTGTAGTGGGGCTGTGTTCTCCTGGACGAACACCTCCACCCGCGGCTGTGAGAACGACAAGCTGCCACGACCCACCACCTGTGTCACTGTACACCAAGGACGAGAGACAGTAATCATTGACTTCGCCCACATTAAATAATACAGTCCTGTGATAAAGGCTATTACTTTTTCTTTCTTTTTTTCTTTTTTTTTTAATATTGAAGGATAATGAGATTCAGGGTTGCTCGTCCATCAGTTGCGCTAATGGGTGGTAATGGCAACCACTTTGTGAAAGCTTCGTAGGAACAGCTGATGAACGTGTACTCAAAATCATGTTTATTCATTTATTTACTTATGATTTCATCTATTTTTGGACGACATAGTAGGTGTGCAAGGTGGGCCTTACTGTTTCCTTTATTCTTGTATATCACCTTATCAGTGTACCTGTATTTTGTTCTGCAGTTTAATCACTTTGTATAGATTCCTAAATACTTACAACACTTTTGAATGATCCAGAAAGACATTTCTAAAGAAGTCAAAACAGATGGAGGGACACATAAATTACACATAACTAAGTCTTTCTTGTGGTTAAATGTTTTGCAGAAGTTCAATACTACTACTACTATTTTTTTTTAACGTGGCTTCCGTTCTCCCCCAATAGCCACACCTTCGCCGCCATTTTATTACCTTAAAATTAAATATCCTAATACATAAGTAGCTATCCTAGCTGTGTTGAGTTAGTTGAGCCGCAGATCTATGCAACATTCAGTGACTGTAGCCTCATAGTCAATATCTGCAACTGTTGTCGGCTTTGGGGCCGATGCTCTCGTTCCCCTGAGACAGAGCAAAGCAGACCTAAGGAGAGAGAAGGACAGTCGACATCTCATCCAGGCTGTAACATAACTTCTGGGCTGCTGCTTCTGTTCGCATAGCACCTCCGCGAGTCTGGCGTAGAAGCATCTTGCACTTGGTCCCATCCCACCAGAGACTGTGAACACCAGAGGAGTGAAGCTGCCTTGATCAACGTTCTTAATTCTCTTCCCATATGTCCTAATCTTGTCGTTCTCGTTCCTCCTGTGTGCTGCATCGAGAGCTAGGTTGCGGTGACATGCGGCCATGGGATCAAAAATCCTTATGTCAAAAAAGGCTCGCTGTCCCCGCGTCCAGAATCCTCGACCACTGACGTCCACAAGGTCTTCGTTGGATGTGTTTTGAAGTCCTGTGACGGAGGTTCTCACTGTCCAATGGAAGGAGGGGCGGTTTCACCATGACGTTGTGACAGATTTCCCTCAGTAGATTTGCTGTTAGATCCCTTACTTCGTCATGCCTCATGCATACGAAGCCCCCTTTCTTGCACACCATGGCGTGGTCGACGTCATAAGATGAGCCGCACACGCATTGGGAGGGCAAACCTTCTACTGGCTTACCGTACCTGAGAGCAATGGCATCTGTGAATTCTTGTTTATTAAGGATGAAGCCTTTTGCCCTTATCGGTAACGTTGTTAACCAGTTTGAGGCGCCCACCTCCTGCGCTATAGCTACTTTTCTTTTCACGTTCTCTGGCACTTGTTGCAACAGTTGTTGCAGTTTATCACTTTGGGTGTGCTGCCGCTTTGTCGTAATGGACCGTCGAATCTTGTTTAATTCTTTGGTAGCCACCTGACTTGCTACTTTCTGATCTATTATGTGCTTAGTGAGAGCTGCCGTGAGCTTGACAGAGTTCTTATGTTCTGTACGGGCAAGCTCCACTAGATTAGTCAATCCCATTCCTCCTAGTCTCGGTGGTAGTGCAAGGAGTGACCTTTCTGCTGGGGTTAAGTAAGGGTTTTTCACTAGTGTTGGGATAAAAGCGACATTGATGGCTTCTTCCAGAGGGCGGAGGAGGGGTCCAATATCAGGGATAGTGCGCATCAGGTAATTCCAGCGATGCTTGACTCCATGGGTGAATGCCGCAAAAGCTGCAAGTGGCTCTGTTTTAGCAATATCAAACAGCTTGGATTTCCTTCACCCACTCACTCACCTTTCCCGTTACATACTCGGCCTTGAAGTCCTTCTTGCCAATTACCGCACCTAGATGTCCTTGGCCATCCTTTGTTATTTTGACCTCACTAACACCGAACACCTCCATTGCCCGTTCATAATGTTCTGGCTTCACAATGAGGAAGGACTTGCTGGTGTTTGGATGGTACCCTATTTGTGGACCTCGTGATGTTACCAGGTCACACCACTTTTTGATGTCCTCCACTTTTCCTGCTCCTGTTAGGTCATCAGCGTATGCCACTTGCTTGATCTCGGTTGTTTCATATTTTATTGTGTTGGAGCACAGACAGGCCTAGTGCGTACATTGCCATGGCGACGGGGTCCCCCTGCGTTGTTCCCTCAGTGGGTGTTTTCAACATACATTGCAAAGCTTGGACACCTGATCTTGATGTTGTGCAGTGACTACTACTACTACTACTATTTTCCCCTCAATAGCCACACCTTCGCCGCCGCCACTACTACTATTACTACTAATCATAATCATATTCATAATCATAATAATAATGCTAATGATAATAACAAACAGGAAAGGGTTTATGATACAAGAAAGGTCGACCAGTGGCAAACTCCCCCCTGGTTGTATCGTTTTAAAAATCACCACTTCATTAGCGGCATCCCCACGCATCGCTTTACTCTACTCGGGAACAAATTTACACAGGGGACAAATCCTGAGGAAGATACAGTACTATAAGTCTCCTGAACTCCTCAAGAGCCTTTAGAGAACTCAATTATCTCCCGAGAAAACGTTATAATTATTCCCCAACATCATTAATAGTTTATGGTTTCTGCTCAAAAAACTGTGCAGCGCCGGGAGAGATCAAACAAGTGTCGTTGCCAAATTTCCTTCACCGAGGCCCCTCACCCTCTTGCCAAACACTGAAGATATCTGAAACAGGAGGACTTGAACTGATGGAGGTTTTATGACAGGAAAAACAATCTGTGGCAGGGAGTTCCAGAGAGCGCTAGTCAGGGGTATAAATGAGTTTTGATAGGCAGAGACTCAGCAAAATGGAGTTTATACAAAAAGAGTCGTGAAATAACAATGTCCGCTATATCCGTCAAGTTTCACGAACATCTAAATAACCTACCAAGACTTATCACGTTCACTCAAAGGACAAAACACGGACACTACGTACACAGTAAGGTCAAGTTATAAAATAAACCGTGCTTGGATAACAGTAAAAAGTAGGGATAGACACGTCCATTTCTATCCTCATGGCGCCTCTCATACATTTTATGGTGGCAAAGAGAGAGCCTCAACCTTATCTGCTCCGCCTCCATCACATTAGTTTCCTCTCTCACACTCCTTCCCTCTTTCTCTTCCTCGTTTTTTCTTCACTTGTCTTCTCAACTACTCGCACCCACTTTCACTCCTCACATATTTCTTTATCTTAAGTCATTTTCTCAATACCCACTTCCTCCCTACGTCCAAAACATCTTAGTTCCCCCTTTTATTATAGTCCTCTTTATCTCCGTTTTCTGTAAGAGTCCTTTCCCAGCGCCATCTATCTAAACGCTCCGGAAAAAAAATATCTATAATTTTTTTTTTCTAATATTGCTTCCGATCTTTCTGTTTGATTTATTTATTTTTTTCTTCCCTGCTTCTTTACCCTCCCTTCCCTTTCCTCCCATCTTCTCTCACCTCATCTCTTCCCATTAGTCAGGTAGTATTACGCTAGGATAATACCCCCCCCTCCCCAGGTAGCGCCTCATTACACATATATGCTCAGGTAATGTCGTGTTCTTTCAGCTCAAATATTCTTCTTGCTGTTTTCCTCTGAGACTTGACCTTAGTACTTACTGTAATATATCTTGCCTATAATAATGATAATGATATAGACTACAATAATAAAAACAACAACAATAATAATAACAACAGTAATAATAATAACAACAGTATAATAATAATAATAATAATAATAATAATAATAATAATAATAATAATAATAATCCTTTTTGCTTTGTCAGCTTTTCATTATCATATTTCTTCTCATTATCTTCTTCATCGTCCTTCTCATTTTTCGTCATCCTTGTCATTTTCATCGTCGTCGTCTTCACCCTCATCATAATCTTCATCATGTGGCACTGTATATCACCAGGCACTGTATATTGGTCGACCATGTATACTGTCTGGCATTGCATATAGATTGGCACTCAGCTAACACTATATATTGGTTGGTATTCTAGTATGGATGAGGGGCAGTAGTTATTGGTCAGTGCCATATACTGTATCTTGCATGGCACTGTACATAGACTCGTACTCTTCTGGCACTGTACATAGACTCGTACTCTTCTGGCACTGTACATAGACGCGTACTCTTCTGGCACTGTACATACTCGTACTCTTCTGGCACTGTGTACATAGACTCGTACTATACTGGCACTGTATAATGGTAGGCACTGTGTATTGGTTGGCACTTTATGGCACTCTCACTGCCTTCGTACCCTGACCAAATTTCTTCATGCAGAATGTTTGGTTGAAAATGTTTCTTTACGGTGTCGTTCTGTTCAGCTGTAAAACATTTCTCTCGCTTTTATTGCATTTCTATAACTATTTATTTACTTTTTATATTTCAATCGACGTCTGCCTCTCTTCCTGTTAATATTTTCATTCACATTTTGTTTCTCTGTCTGTCCTTTAAATTCTCTTAGTTTCCTTTCTACCTAATATTAAAGCCACCTAAGTTACCTACCTATACCGCCTCCCAACACTAACCCACCTCTCCACCACCAACCACAAGCTCAGGGCGAAACTCCACACACACACATATACTGTACTCCAGCTCACCCTCTCTAACCCTTCTTACTGTTCACTGTGGTATTCATTTATCCATCATTTAGGTAACACGCTCGATCTATCTCAGTTGGTGTGATATGATTGTATTTTAGAAGCATTGGTTATTATCTGTTAGTCTCTGTCGAGCGTCAAACATTATTGGAACTTTTCCGCCAATTTCTCGTCATGATAATAATGGTCTTGACAGTATGATGGTGATGATATTTTCCTCGTGTATTCAAGGGGTTAAATCATCGTCATCAAGGGTTTAAGTCATCGTCATCAAGGGTTAAGTCATCGTCATCAAGGGTTAAGTCATCGTCATCAAGGGTTAAGTCATCGTCCTTAAGGGTTAAATCAT